CAGATAAAAATTTGGCCTACCTTCCTGGGGGAGAATCTGGTCATGTAGCCATACCCACTGCAAGGGAAGCTGGGAAGTATACTCTTAGCTATGTTTTTAGACATTATTTTCTGTTAAGCCATCCAATAGATTTTCCTGTAATGGTAGGAATGTTCTCTATCTGTGTTTTTAATACAATAGCTGCTAGCCATATGTTGCTATAGAACACTTGAAATGTGGTTACTAAAACTGAGATTAAAATTTTGTTTACTTATAATTAAATAGCCACATGTGGCCAGTGGCTGTGGTATTGGACAGTGCAATTACAGAACCCTGGGAGGAGGAACTGGGGCAAATAGGCAGTAATCTTCACAGGAGTCACTTGCTAGGTATTGATGACTGAGCAAATGGTATGTTTTCTCACTTCCCTCAACTGGTGAAAAAGATGTAGGAGGAGAATGTATCCCTCCATCTCTCCAGACTGTTGGAGGATGGGCATCATTCAGTCAAAGCACCACAGTGAGTGCTCAGCCAACGTCGCTCTATCTATCTATGGCCGGAAGGCAGGGACAGTAGTGGCAATCCGTGAGTGTCAGCTTCCCTTCCCTCTACATATTTCCACATGCTTCAGTGGAGCTACACCACTTACTTCTCTCCAAAATGTTCCGTCTCCTCTGAATTGTGTTCTCCAAACCTAGTTCAAAATTCCATTCCCACGCAGTCCTCCAGGTGTGGTCTCTCCAGGTGTGACAGCCCTGATGCTTTGTGTACTCTCCAGGACCTGCAGCACTGTACTGAGGGAGCTCATCCTAGCTCGTGCGTGTAGCTGAGTATTACTTATAAACTGTCTGGTCATTAGCTCAGGACTGCCCCTGACTAGCTCTTACACTTAAACTCAGCCCATTTCTGTTCATCTATATGTCGCCACGTGTTCCGTAGCTTTACCTGTGTGCCATTACATGCTGCTCCCTGGACTGTGGGCTGGCGTCTCCTGACTCAGCCTTCTTCTTCCCAGAATTCTCCTTGTCTGCTTATCCCACCTATACTATACTTCCTGCCTGGCTACTGGCCAATCAGCGTTTTATTAAACCAGTGGACAAAAGCGTTATTCACAGCACTTGCATTTGTCTAGACAGATGTGCTTTTTTCCCATCTCTCTCTCTTCCACTCTGCCCAGCAGAATTCTTGGTGTCTATTGCATTGAGTTGAATCCATTGAGAGGGTTACAAGGACAGTCCCTGGACAACTAGAGCCAGATTCCATCTACATGGCACCAAACAAAGCTAGAGTTTGGTGACTTCTGAGGTATCTATGTAGACATCCCAGCACAGCCACCTCACTGGTCAGGAGTTTGCCGAGTTCTTTTGGACATTTATACGATTTTTCTTCTCCCACATTTCTCTGTAAAAATAGCCTTCTAGTTTGCTTGCCTTTTCCCACTGTCTGTCTACTCCTGGCAAAGTTCCTGACCAAAAACTGCCAAGGAGAACTGGAACCACTCAATTTGGCAGCCTGGACATGGGTCCAATGAGCTGTGTAAGTGCTCCATGAGAAGAAAGCCACACAGGACACATTCCATGGTCTCTGTGGCTCGGGGTGACCCTCACTGTCACTCCAGACTATCTTGTGTCATTTTGACAACAACCTAAAAAAAAAAAAAAATCTCAAGAATGTGCCTCAAAATACCCTGAACTCTCATGAGTTTACTGATTTTTAAAGAAAAAAAATTACTAATAAGCTTATTTAGAGCTTTTCAATTATTCGTTCACCAGATGCTTGTTGAGGTCCTGCTCTGCGTCAGATATTATTCTGGTGTTTAAAATGTGGAACAGACAAAATTCACGCATTCAAGGAGCTTTTGTTCTGGTTGGGTAGGAAGAAAATAAATATGTCATGTGCCAATAAGTTCCGAAGGCAAAGACATGAGGGTGTCTCTTGTGACATAAAAAAAAAAAAAAACACTCTAATCACTTAGTATCCTAACATAGCACCTTATTGTTGCTTGTGAGTCCACAGCCTGACGGGGCCCCCTGGGCTCATTCAGGAGGTAGCAGTCCCTGGAGGCTCAGCAAGGGCTAAGGAGCCTACTAGGAGTCAGGCTAAGCCTCACACACTCTCTGGCTGCCTCGCTGCTGGCTGTCAGCTCGCCCTCTCCACATAGCTCACCCAGCTCACCCATGAGTCCAGCCTGGGCTTCCTTACAGTGTGGAGTGAGGATTCCTAGGTTGTGAAGGTGGAGACTGCAAGGCTCTTATGACTTCGGGCCAGGTCATGCCGTATTACTTCTATCTTGTGTTGGCCACTGCCATTGAGAAGGCTAGGCACGTCTTCAGAGTGTCACATCTTTGCTACTTATGAAAAATCCCATTCTTCGTGGGCAAGCATCGAGAATTTCTGAAGGAATGGAGCCAGGTTAAAAGGGGGCACTTGATTTTGAAACAGTGAGGTACGAAGATGAAGCAGCTATGTGCGGCCGCATTTTGAGAGGAGAAACTGAGGAGTGTTTGAGGTGCATTACAATGCAGTATAAAGGCGTAGTGAGGTACAGGGTGTGTTTGAAATACACTGGTCAAAGAAAGCGTCTCTGAAGAGGGGCAATCTAGAGAAAGACCCGAGTGAAGTAAGTAAGTAGGCCATACAAATATCTAGGGGAAGGATATTCTAGGCAGAGGGAATAGATAGCAACTGAAGGTTCTCAGGTTAGACCACTGCAATTCTTTTTGTCAGAGATAATTCTATTACCTCTAATATTAATATTAATATTCCATATGAAGCATTTTGAATGAAGATATATCCTTTTTATTTACGGAAAATATAATTTTGTGGGCAACAGTGGAGGATTCCTAAAGGAACTGAACGAAGATCCAAGGGGGCCCTTGATTTTAAAACACTGAGATGTGACATCAAACCGTTCATGGAGTTGGAGACCATAAAAGTGTCTGCCTCTTTCCCCTGCTGCCTGCATGCTCCACACTCCTCACCTGACACACTGGCTGAACCCCAGAGTCAGAAAAGTCCCCTTGTTTCCAGTCTCGGTACGTCGGCCTTCAGTCATCCTGCACGCCGCTTGTCCACAGCCTTGCCCTCACACAGCCTGTGGGAGCATCTCTGCGAGCAAACCAAACTGTGAGACATGGGAGACCAATGCTGCGTCAGGCTTACCAGAGGACGGAGCAGTACAGAGGGGTTTTCTGGTCTAATTACCCACTATCGATAGGGCAGTCTGAGGGGAATGGGTAATTAGTCTGTGTGTAGAGGGGACAATTATCTAGCTCACTGGCTGCCAGATGCTTGTCGCTGCTCCTCTGGCCACCTAGGCTGGGTTCCTGGCTCTACCTGCAGCCTATTAAGTGGAATGACCCTCCCATGCAGAATAGCCTGTCATTATCTCTGTGTTAACATGGCATTTATCCCCCAAAACTCTGCCAAGCTACTTTGCAATTAAAAGACCTCCACATAGCCCCCTGCTTTAGCCTCGGACAACCATTAAAGTCGTCAGGGCAGGGATGGCTTTAAAAAGCTGAGAAGATGGACCAGGGTCTTCCCTGAAAGGGTCAGTTGACATCCCAGGAACTGACACTCTCACGTGTGTCCCAAAGCCTGGGACTGCACACCTCAGACACAGGATTTGGGAGGCATCAAGACACCCCCACCCAAATCAGGCATGTTACACACAGGATAATTCATTGGCTGCTTAGTGCCAAGACTGAAGTTGACTTTTTGAGAGTCACTGTCTCTCCTGAAGTCCATGACAGCCCTGACAGACAGGGAATCCTACCACACAATGAGGCAACACTTTCGGGAAGTCCTCTGAGACTTTCCCCAGAAAGCAACGAAGGGAATTATAAGAAAGCGCAGCCACACAAGTCGGCAAAGAAACTATCACTCTTCTTCACTGTTTCTCTCAAAGCTCAAGCCCCCCCCCCCCACTTCCTGCAGCTGTCACTGCCTTTGGGTTTATCTACTTGTCACGAGCATTTCTGAGCATGTCTGAGGAAAATAAAATTAACCCCCATTTCTCCTCCCTTTACCCTATCATTGCTGCCCAAGGGCACAAACCAAAAAGTCCCTTGAAGGAGTGGGGGGTGGGGTGGCGGGCAGGGGAAAGCTGTGATTGCTTATGGGTCAGTCGGTATTTGACTTCTATTACCTAAAAGGATGCTACTATGAGTATCTTTATCCAGATGTCTTCACACTCAGGGGTGGACTTTTCCGTAGGATAATGGCTGTAAGAGAGCCTGATTATGTGAATTTCAACGTGAAAAGATATCCGATTGTTAAAAGTTGTGCACATTTAGCTTATTAGCAAGCTTGCCTTCCCTCATCCTTGCCAACTTGGCTTGCTGCCCCTCCAAAAACGTTCTTTCATTGTTTTCTGATTATGCGTGTGATAAGTGTTCCCTGTGTAAAAGAAAAAATGGCAACTGCAGCTAAATGAAGAGAACGGAAAGATTAACTCCCATGCCGCCATTCAGAGGTGAAAATCAGCCGGGTGTGATGACACACAGCCATAACTCCGACACTTTGGAGTCTAAAGCTGAAGGATCAAAAATTCAAGGCCATCTGAGATACCCAGGGAGATTCCATCTCACAACAGCAGAGGCTGTAGCTAAGGTAGCTGTAATCTGAAGAACTTTCTGGAATCACTAGAGCTAGTAACATGTTAAAGATCACCTCTGTCTCTCTTTTCTTCCGTCCCATGAATCCAAAGACCTAAAACAGACCTTCCTGAGATTTGTAGAGATTGTCCTGAGGTAGGCAGTTCCAGATATGCACACCCCTAAAATGTGTCCCCACTCAAAACAGTTCTGCTGCCAGGAAGGCTCCAAGCCTGGGGATTTGTGGAGCAGGAATGGAGTACAAACATTCAGAAAATGTGTTTTCAGACCTTGGCAGCTGGATCCAACAGATTGGAAAACCCATCTCCCGGGCCAACCCTATAGCCAAGTTTCCATGTCTCAGGGACCCTGACATGCCCTGTTAAGCCTCTGAGCTAATGACTGCTCCACTTTCCATTCCAGAGACCTGAACTATAATGAGCTACAGGAATTCCCCGTGGCCATCCGGACCCTGGGCAGGCTGCAGGAACTGTAAGATCTTCTGTTGGTGTGTTCTGGGGGTGCTTCCTTCAGGGGCAGAGGGCAGCTAACTCACTAAATCACCCCCCATAGTCCTTGTGACTGGTCCTTATAAAAAGCTATGGCTGGAAACCCTCCAGAGCCTGAGAACCGCTCTCGGTAGTCACAGCTCTTGCTTGGTAGCTTGGCTTTGAACGTTTCTTGGGGGTGCATCGTCAGCATAAATGGCTCTAGGTCCCTCAAGCCTGGGAACATGCATGGAAGAAACTATCTCTTGCAGCTTGGACTGGCACTGCCCTGGCTATATCTGAAGAAGAATTAGAAGGAGAACCAGAGGCTGGTTTATAGGGTCACTCTTTATTACCATCTCTAGAAGGATTAGAAAATTGTCTCTGGAGCCCCATGAGCATTTATTATTATTATCATTTCAGTTGTGTGTGAACATGCATGCATGAGTGTGCATGATGTATGCATGGGGGGGTGGTACACGTGCCATAGCATATGTGTGGAGGTCAGAAGACAACTTTGTGGAGTCAGTCTCTCCTTCTATATTTATATAGGTTCCAGGTATTGAACTCAGGTTGCCCGGCTTGCGTGGCAAGCACTTTTACCTGCTGAACAATCTCACTTTCCCAACCATTTGTTATTCTATTTGAATACTCACTAGACTGGGTTCTGTGTTTGGTGTTAACACAAACCAAGGGGAAGATAGACAGGGGGTCCTCTAAAAAGGATCCTGCAGCCTCATCCATGACACAAAGGAGCATTCATGAAACAGGAACAGGACAAAGCAACATATAATTCCAGCCTTAAATTGTGGTATAATATTGGCTAAAATAGCCATGGAAATTCAGAGTAGCAGACAGCTCACTGTGGACTGAGGTCTGCTGAGACTGGTCTCCAAGGATGAGTGGGATTCAGGCAATGATGGTGGAAGAGGACAGGTATTTTAGTCAGCAGAGGGGTACAAACACAGTCCTGACAGGAAGAGGTTAAGGTAAAGGATGCCCACAAAGGGATACCAACCTTGATGGAGTGTGCTCAGTGACCTGGGAAGTCTAACATATAGACTAGAATCCAATTAAGGGACATGAAGGTTCATGACTTTTTCTTGAGAAAAAGTATACACATTTAGGTATCAGTCCATCCATCCATCCATCCATCCATGCACGCATCATCTACTGAGAGAAAGCTGCTTGCAGAGAGGGCCTCTGTTATCTAAATCTCTCAGCCTCTCAGAGCTTGACCTAGCCCAAGACATAAAAGAGCTATTCAAACAAAAAGGTTGTCTAGAAGGACTGAAGGAAGCAACAAGCCTTGGTGGGCAGCACCGGCCAGAGATACCTGAGGATGAACAGTGAGTGACAAAGCATGAGTGAAAGGAATGCTGGGACAGCAGGAGATGGGAAGAAGTGAGCAGATGCCAGGGCTCCCAAAGTCAGAGGCTTGCAGTAGGAAGGAGATGTCGAGAGGCCCGCTCAAACTGGGCCGTGTGATTTTCAGCCCAACAAGTTGGTTCTTGGGAAAGTGTCACAGCAACCCGAGCTCACTGCTCTTGGCTTCCAGACCCCAGACACTTGGTGGGGTACTCCATTGCTCACCATCCGCAGACGCCATCCACGGACATTTAACGCCTCTGCTGCTCTGCCCCTTCTGTGTTTCTTCACTTCAGGAAGAGCCTCCCTCACCCAGGATCCCCTGGAAGTTCTTTTCTTTCTATATGCTCCTTTTCCTTCCACACACCAGTGGCTTCCTCTGTGGGGACCTACCATGGCTCCTGCCACACATGACCAAGGACTGGGTCTCTTCCTTAGGACCTGAGCGCAACTACTTACTCTAGAGTTATTCATTCTCATAGGCTTTCTGAAGTTTCAGACCTGGGAACTGTCTCCACTTCCCTCCCAACACACACACACACACACACACACACACACACACACACACACACACACACGTGCATGTGTGTCAGGAAAGGCTGAGTATATTGTGGAACAGAGAAGAAAACTCACAGGCAGGATTGGAGGCTGAGATTTCCAGATTGAGAGCCCTTTGATCTCAGGACCTGTCTAGTCAACTGTCAGAAAGCCCCGTGGAACTCCATGCTCTTCCTCTCCACACCTCTCTCCCAGTCCTCACTGATCCTCGGTGCTGTCTTCCAGGGGTTTCCATAACAACAACATCAAGGCTATCCCAGAGAAGGCCTTCATGGGCAACCCCCTCCTACAAACAATGTGAGTACCACCCCTGCTTCTGCTGTTCTGTGTTTTAAAGGATGGAGGTTGTGGGGGTGGAGAGAAGGGATGCCCCTAGAAAGAGCCAGGGAGGCAGGAATGTGGGAGAGCTGTCGTCCTCTTTTGAGTCCCTGCCCAGAACAGTAGGGACCTGAAAAGAAGTGAGCATCTGAACCGGGGCTCGGGTCTTTTTCTTCCAGACATTTTTATGACAACCCAATCCAGTTTGTGGGAAGGTCGGCATTCCAGTACCTGTCTAAACTGCACACGCTGTAAGTGGGCACCCGAGGCCACTGCTTGGTGCTGCCCTCGGGACTTCTCCCCTATTCCCTCCTGCTTGCCCTCTCCTGCCCTCTGCCTGTGACCTCTCTCTTGGCCAGGCACCACTCAGCCAGAAGAAGAGGCCTTCAGGGCTCTAGACGGTAACACTTTCTCAGACCTATCCCCAGATCCGCTGGAGCTTAACGGTCTCCCTCCACCTTTGTGCCTGTTTTTTCTTCTCGTGTCTCACATGGACGAAGACAGCCCTTCTTGCTACCCCGGGGCCCTTCTTTGACCTCTTTGGTTTTTATTTGGCTTGTGGTAGTTGCCCCTGCATACCCACTGGGAGAGTAGTGGACAGGGCTGAGGTTCTGGATTCTGTGTGTCCCCCAGGCTGCTTCTCCAGTGTCCTGTGGCACAGCTTCCTGTGCCATCTTTCTCATGCTGAGCCTGAAGGTAGTCCTTTGTTTCCCTCCCCCACTCTTCTGATTCCAAGGTCCCACCCACTTCTTAAAAAAAAAAAAAAAAAAGCTTCCGTGGACTGTTTACAGCATACTGCGGCCTCACTCTGCACAGTTAACCTCCTCTAGGCACATGTTTTGGTTCCATGTTTCCAATTGCATTCCCTCTTCACCCCAACCTGTGAGGTAGGGACTTGAGGTCCATTTCACAGATAAAACCTGAGGTGCTCAGGTACTGACCAGGCATGAGCCCAGGCCCTTAACTTCTGTTACTGGGCTCATTGCTGGATGCCACTCTGCCTCCTCAGGGTCTCTCACACACTGTTTGTTGGTTTGTGACAGGGTTTCATGTGGCCAAGGCTAGCCTTCAACTCCTGATCCTCCAGCTTCCACTCTCCAAGGGCTAAGACTAAAGGCATGTGACATCTCTCTCAACACTTTCCTTTTTAAGTAAACATTTCTGTCAGGAGTGGAGGTACATACTTATAATGTTAGTGCTCCAGAGGTGAAGGCAGGAAGATCAGGGGTTCAAGGCTAACTTCTGCTATATAACGAGTTTGAAACCAATCTGGGCTACAGGAGTCCCCATATCAAAGCCAAACAATAATAACATGAAACATTTCCCATGTCCCTTGTCTGGGTTTGGTTTCGTCTTTTTACAAGCCAAAGGCCTCAATGCTGAAGTTGCTGGGCTCGGTCTCAGCACTTCTGGGCTTGGCAGGGCTGTATCAATTTAAGAAAGTGATTGGGAGCTGGGCATGGAGATACATGTCTTTAATCCCAGCACTCAAGAGGCAGAGACAGGTGGATCTCTATAAGTTAGAGGCCAGCCTGATCTAGATAGTGTGTTCCAGGACAGCCAGCCAGAACTCTATAAAAGAGAGACTATGTCTCCAAAAAAAAAAAAAAAAAACCAAACAGACAAGTTATTGGACCCTGCTAAGCATGGTTCAACTTCCAACGGGACGAGAGTGGCTAATTTGAAGGAGGCTTGGGGAAGATGACATTTACCCAAAAGGTGGAGCCCCTGAGCAGAAGGCTGAGGCTGAGAGCACAGATGTTGACATGCCTAATCCACCCTCCAGAGTCTGTTTTCTCTGTTTGCAGATCCTTGAATGGTGCCACTGACATCCAGGAGTTCCCAGACCTCAAAGGCACCACTAGCCTGGAGATCCTGTGAGTGGACTCCCTCTCCCTCCACTGGGGATTCTTCCACCTCCCTTCATCTGGAAGGCTGTCCAGGCCACATGCTCCTCCTGCTACCCCTCCTTGGGTCTGCCTCTGCTGCTGGCTCAGCCCCAGGGCCTTGGCCATCTCCAGATGTGGTGCTGCCTCCAGGCAAGGCAGGGGCAGCAGGATGTGGGGAGGAGGCTGGCATTCCGCTGTTGTGCTTAGATTGGTCAGGTCTGGCTTCAGAGCTCCTAATCCTGAGCCATGGAGCATGAGGACACAGAATGGGAGCAGTGTTGTGAAACCTGTTTCCTTTGACTCTGAGAGGCTTGGTGCCAACCAAGGCTTTCTTAGTGTCTCTGTGCTGTACTCTGGATCCTGGGAGAAGTACGTAGTAGACCCTCAAAATACTCAGCATCCTGGGATAAGTATGTAGTAGGCCCTCAAAACATGTTAAATGAATGAAAACAAAATAAGCAGGCACCGCATGTGAATGCTAGGAAGTCAACACCCCGCCCACACCGCACAGCTCATTCATGGTTCTGCTGGGATTGCCCTTCTCAAGTCTATACCGCCATTGTCTTCTTCCTAGCTCAGTGGCATGTGGAAATCTTTCCATGAAAGTAATAATAGTTTCCCAAGGATGACCTTGGCCTTGGAGTCTTTCCGGGGCTACCCTGTGCCTAATCCAAGCCCATTCTCCAACCTGCCCTCTACAACCCTCTGCACCCCAGCTTTGGGCCCTTCTCTTTTTTCCCCCATCTTGTTCCCCTCCCCCAGGCACAGGGAGAAAAGCGTGTACTGGGTTCCCATGGTCCCACCGAAGCTGTTTCCTAGCTACTCATTGCCATGGCTGTCCCTCCCCTCCAAGGCCCCAAGAGCAGGGAAGACTTAGTCTCTAAGGCCCAGGGTTTCTGGAATCATTATGAGAGGTGGGGTGTGGGTGGGGTGAAGATACATGAGTAGATTTGGATCTGTATGGATCACTGGACAAAGCCTATGGACTGGGGTCCTATTTCTTTCTACTTCCCACCCCAGCTCCTGTAGGCCAGGGGAACTTATCACTCAGATGAGGGAGCAGCCCCCCACCCCCACCCCCGTCCTGTTTACCCCACCACTTCTCTTTTGTCAGCTCTGTCCCCCCACGGACAGCATCAGGTCCAGTGCTCGAGACGGGTGGCTGGGAATAGCAGGGCTCTGGGCCTGATGCCAGCTCTGTCTCTGCTCTCCCTGCAGGACCCTGACCCGCGCAGGCATCCGGCTGCTCCCACCGGGAATGTGCCAACAGCTGCCCAGGCTCCGAGTCCTGTGAGTGGCTCGCGAGTGTTCTACAGTCCTGGCATTGTCCCCCGGGCCCCGTGTCCCAGTGAAAGCCTCTCCCACTTCTGTTGTGTTTGGTCATATCTCTTTCTGGCCAGTGGTCAACGTAGACTCCTGCTGAGAGTCTGTTTGGGAGGGACTGTCCTCTCTTGTTCAAGATAAAGGACTTTGGTGTCTGGAGTCAGATCCCAGTTGTTTGAGACCAAGTCTGCTCCTCACTAGCTATGTTCATTTGAATTTTCTTTAACATCTCTGAATTTCAATCTTTTATTTAAAATGAGAGTCAATTTGGGAAACTTGAAGACAGTCTCTGTTTAATGCACATATCACATAGTAGATAGGGCCTCAAAATGGCGTCATTTAGGCAAGAGAGTTTATTGCTTCTGGTATTCTGAAGATACTTAAGTTGCCTCAGGTTTTCTCCCCGCCCCCTATTTTAACTTAAATCTTAGACTGCTCCCTAGGGCTCTTCCAAGCAGCTCAAGATGGGTACACCCATTGTCTATTAACTGGCAGTGTGTCTTTGGGCAGGGTCTATGCTCAGGTCCTAGGCCTCATATTCCCCGCCTAAGGGAAGGGTTGGACCAGATGTTCCCTGAGGGCTCCCAGTACTTCTCTTCCCGGCCAGCTCCATCAATGGTGGTTATGAGTGCCATTTCCATGGGGCCACTACTTCTACAGGTGACAATGGCCATCTTGCTCAGTAATGCCCATATTTCCTACTGATTATTTCAGCATTCCATGCCCCAATTTTATCCACTCTTCTCATCTCCATGCCCCTCATTTTGTACTCCATTATCCCCAGGATGCTCCCAGGGTTCTGCAGGATTACCTGTTGATAAGGCAGCCCTGCTGGGTGGCGGGGGGGAGCCAAGTTGGTTCTGTCTAGGCTCAGTAAGGGAGTGGGGCTTAACAGGGAGGAGGGAAGTGAAATCTAATGGCGGAGATTGGTACTCTACTGTGAGATGGCCATGCGATGTTCCTGCAGGGTTCTCGTGACCTTCAATTGCTTCATAGGAAAGCACAGCCCTGACCACAGAGGCTTTTCCCTGCCCCTGCTCCCCACCTGCACATAGCCACTGCTTCACCCTGAGCTGGGTTCTGTCTCTTCCCCAGGGAGCTGTCTCATAATCAGATTGAAGAGCTGCCCAGCCTGCACAGGTGTCAGAAGTTGGAGGAAATGTAAGTCTGGGGAGAACTGGGGGCCAAGGCATGCCAGAGAGGTTCTAGGCAGGTCTGTGGGGAAGGGGCCCAGGGGCTAAAGCATGCTATAACCCCTCTTTCTTCTCAGTTTGTTGGACCCAGATATAGGGCTGGGAGCTCAGTAAGGCCTGGGCACACTCTGTAGGACTCACAGCAGGTGATATCGCCAGGAATGGGTGCCCAAAGGAGTCTCAGGATAGCTCCTGAGTCAACAGCCACACCAAAACGCAGCTGTGATTAGAGCCAGCGGAGGGCCAGGGCCACCAAGGTACTCTGTGTAAGACGCAAGAAGTCTTCAGAGGAACTAGAAGCATTCTCGGTTTTAGAGCATGTGCTCTCGTGTTCTACAACCCATCAACATATCACACATACATGCGTGCTCATGAACACAAAGATAATACATAGTTATACATGCTCCTCCAGCCTCACAAGGAAAAGGTCACTTTAAAATTTCCCTAAGCCCCATTTGCCCACCTCCTTGAATTACTATGATCTCTTGAGTTCCTCATAGCTGTCCCTGATTCTAGGCAGGGCAAATGCTTTATGGGGCCATGTCGGGGAAGATCTATCTGGGTTTGTCCTATTTGTCTGGGTGACAACATCTTTGATATTGCTGGAGTCTAGGATCTATCTCCTGTTCAATCAGTCTACTGGACTCTGCTCTCAACTCCATGCAGTCACTCGGTTATCCGAGGGCCGGGTGTGCTCTGTGGCTAGGCTAGGGTCTGGAGGACCCATGGCTGTGGGGGAAAGTGGGGGGCACTTCAGCTGGGCTGTGAGCCAGGCCCGGTGGGAACCCTGGAAGCTGACTCCCTTTTGGGCCACAGGGATGGTTTTGTGGCTTTGTCTCCTGACCCACTTACCCAAGGCAACCGGATCCCCTTGTGTTCCCTTTAATTCTGGTGACTTCCGCGGGCTGGGCCTTTCTTCCTGTGCCAGAAGAAGTGGGGGGCTCTCCTTTCTTCCATCCAGTGCTTGAGGGGCATGGAGCAGAGCCAGAGTCTCGGCCTGCAGGCTCATCTAGTCTCTCTTGCTGCCCTAGCGGCCTCCAACACAACCGGATCTGGAAAATTGGTGCCGACACCTTCAGCCAGCTGAGCTCCTTACAAGCTCTGTGAGTACCTGAAGCATCCAGGGGTGTGTTTTGGAAGGCCCCCATGTCCCCTCCAAGCTCATTCCCATAGCACATGTGTCCAATTCAAGCACTCAAGACATGTATGTGTATTTCTTCTCCATTCCCCTTTACACACACACACACACACACACACACACACACACACACACACACGCATGCACACATGCACATGCACATGTACACGCACACACACAAGAGGCACTTTCCCATCCCTTCTCCAGCTATTACCCAGGACATTCTGAGGCTCTAGAGCCAAGACATGATGGCTCCATTCCAATTGCTCCAGCCAGGTTGGGAACTGGGCAGCAGAAGGGACCTCCCTCAAAAGGCTAAGGCCACAGCTGCTTGGGAAGTATGTGACAGCGAGCCCAAGATAGGCCCAGGATAGGAACAATGCATTCTCCATGTGTCTCTGCCCTCTTTTATCCCATGCTTTCTGACCACAGAGACCTGAGTTGGAACGCCATCCGGGCCATCCACCCTGAGGCCTTCTCAACCTTGCACTCCTTGGTTAAGCTGTGAGTACATCTTGAACTCTCTTCCAGGGTGCTGGGGACCAGTTGGGACCGTGGCCTGGTTGGTGGTACAGAAGGGCCACCACTGAGCAGAGACTTGTGTAAATGTTTCACCACACATCACAGGGAGGTCTGGGCAGCCTAATCAATCATTCTAACAGTGTGTTTGACACATGGCGAGGCCGGGTAAACAGAGAGCCTGCTTCCTATGAACCCTGGAAGAGCATCTGCGGATGTTCTGCAATGTTTTGGCAGCCTAGGTCCTCATCGTGTTCCACTCCCTCACCTCTACCCTAGCCTCTGTATCCTCCCCATGCACCAATAGAGAGAACATATGTGCCCCAACTTCTCAATTCCAGAGGATGGTGGCTGATGGAGACCTCGGGGTCTCAGAGACCTGCAAGACAGTAGGGAACCACGAAATCTTTAAGTCACACAGGATTCAAGCAGAGAGTATGCAGATCTGGTGCGTGGTCATTGTGTCAGGGTGAAAAGGGCCTCTGACCTGGTTGGCACACTCTGGGGAGCAGGTTATTAACTACACAAGGGTCCTGCCCAAGGAGGAGCTGCCATCCTACCTGTGTGCTTGCCAAAGGCATTCCCAGCCACACGGGGCCCCTTTCTGACTAACACAGACTCCTTGAGGCAAACTCCAGCTCTGACCTTGGATATTATCCTGCTACCGACATTTCACTGGTGACATCTCCAACGTCTGGGAGGCGTAGCCTGCTTAAGGACTTGTCTATGACTCCCATGCGGCATGCACCTCCCACCCCCCAGTCTGTGGCTCTCTGGGCTCGGGGCCTTGGTCTTGTAAAACTGTCACCTCCATCTTGCATCTGATATTTGCTATCCTCCTGCCAAATTGGTAGGACAGATATTTTTATTCTTTGAAAGATGAGGCCATTGGAACTTGGGCAGGTTCGTGACTCCCTTTGGTCACACAGTGAGCTGGTGACCATGCCAGGTTTCCTGCCTGCCAGTCCAGGGCTGTTTCCACGACGCACAGTCTGTGGTCCCCGTGTTTGCATTGGATCCCTGGCTGAGTCTAATAATGTCTCCAGGAGAAGTTGTGCATGTCCTCACCTCTGGCTACCAGGCAGGTTCTGTAAGGCAGAATGGATGACCCAATGCCTGCTTAGGGCTGGATGACTCTGGATGACTAGCTCTGTCCTATCCCTGTCTGACTCTGGCCTCGTCCATCATCAGAGAAGCAAAGGGTTGCGTGGGATACAGGCAAAGAGCAGCGAGGTCTCCCAGGAGGGTGGGCAAGGGTTCCTGGATGGGACCCAGACACAGCAGCTACAGTTGTGGGGCTCTGTTACCTATAGATTGGGACAATTTGACATGAAGCTGGAAGAGTCCCTGATACATAGCTGTCACTCAAGGTTTGTTGAGTGAATGGATGGCCGAGTTAATAGAGGGTGTCTCTAAAGAACCTTCTTAAGGACCCTTGCCCCGGGGTACACACTGTCTCCCCTGTACTTACCTTCTGTTCCTTGCTCCTCTCCTCTTGCTCTCACCCCAGGCGCGCTGGCCACACCCTCAACAAAGCCCTGCCCCCTCAGCAGTTCCACTGACTACCAATAACCCTGATCATCCACTGTCCTAGGGACCTGACCGACAACCAGCTGACCACACTGCCCCTGGCCGGGCTAGGAGGCCTGATACACCTGAAGCTCAAAGGGAACTTGGCTCTGTCTCAGGCCTTCTCCAAGGACAGCTTCCCAAAACTGAGGTGAGAGCTTGGCTTGCCCTATGCCTGAGGAAGTGTGTCCCAGACACCTTGAAGAGACTGAGAAAGGCGCGGGGTCTCACCCTAAGAATGGCCTGGTAGCTCAGAGTTTGGCTCCACTGCCTTCCTGTCAGATAACCAGAGACATGACCCTTCCCTCCTCATCCCCTCTCCCTATCCCAACCACCAATTTAAGGGCACAGAGACCTGTGGGGAAAGGAGACCCCTGGGACCTCCTTATTCCTTGCCTGGTTCTACACAGCCAGGCTGTCCTGTTCTCACTCAGGCATCATCCGAGGCACGGAATCGGGGCAGAGCCCAGGGCACTGAGGAACGGAAAACAAGCCGCACAGCCAGTCCCTGGTGCTAATGACATCCAGGCTTCCTTCATGTAGTGGCGGCAGCAGCGCAGCCTGTGTGGCCCAAGCTTTGTCTGCTGCAAGCTAACGAGATGCCCAAGGCATCTGTCCTCACCCTCAGAGGGCACAAAACCCAGTTCTGTTATGCCAGGAGCTGGGAAGGGGACAGGGTGTTGGCTTCACAGAAGACAAGGGTAAAGAGTCACTGGGGAAATCTTAGCTTTTTTTTTTTATAAAAAAAAAAAAAAAGGAAGAGAGACTGGAGAGATGGCCCAGTGGTTAGGAGCTCTTGCTGCGCAGTTATGAGGATGGGAGTTCAATTTCAGAACCTATATAATGCACTGGGATCCCATACTTGTTTGTAGTCCCAGCTCTGAGGTGGGCAGAGACAGGGGGCAACCCTGTCTTAATGAAATGGGCAGACAGCGGTAGAGAACGACACTGGATGCCCCCTTCTGGTCTCTGCATGTGTACATACATAGGAGCATGTACATACCCACTCAAACACAAAGAAAGGAAGGTAGATGTTGTGCATGGTCCTACACACTTGGGTAGCAGAAGAAAGAAGATGGGCAGTTCAAGGTCATCCTTGGCCACAGGTGAGTTTGAAGCTAGCCTGGACCACATGAGACCATGTCTTTTTAAAAAAAAAAAAAAAAGGAAGCAAAGGGTGGAGGGAGGGAACGATAGGAAGGGAGGGGAAAGGCAGGAAAGACAGAAAATAGGGAAGGGGGAAAAGAACAAGAAAACAAAAAGAATCCATGCCCGCCCCTTCCCTGGCACTTGGGATCAACCCCAAGAGCCTTGTGCATGCCAGGCAAGTGTTCCATCGCTGAGTCAAACCCCATCCCCTGCCTCCTTATCGCCTTCTTAAATATGGACAAGAGTTACTGCCAAGGAGGAGCAGAGTAGCCCGAGTGCTGTGTGACCTGGGGGAAATTGCCTTCCACTCTTGGCCTGCTGTGGGGACTTCTGACTCAATAGGCAGAGGCTTCTCTCTCCCTCTCAGTTTTGATGAGCGATGAGAAGACACAATCTCTCCAGAGCCCTCTGGGGTCAGGAATCAGGCTTTAAGACTCATCTGAAGAAAGGTCCAGGGCAGTGGTTCTCAACCCGTGGGTCTCTACCCCAAAGGGGTCAAACAACCTTTTCACAGGGGTCACCTAAAACCACTGGAAACACAGATGTTTATATTATGATTCATAACAGTAGCAACATTACAGTTAAGAAGTAGCAACGAAAATAATGTTATGGTTGGGGGCCACCCCAGCATGAGAGAATGTATTAAAGGGTTGCAGCATTAGGAAGGTTGAGAACCGCTGGCATAGAGGGAGCGGGGCACTTTGGGGCTGAGGAGTAGGTGCCGAGGGTATCCACACTAACGTCTGGGATCCCAAACACGCTAAGGCAGCCTCTTCCCCGCCTAGGATCCTGGAGGTTCCCTATGCCTACCAGTGCTGTGCCTATGGCATCTGTGCCGGCTTCTTCAAGACCTCTGGGCAGTGGCAGGCTGAGGACTTTCGCTTGGAGGAAGAAGAGGCACCAAAGAGGCCCCTGGGTCTCCTTGCTGGACAAGTGGAGAACCACTGTGAGTAGACGGGAACTCGGTTGAGGGTGCCCAGGACTCTGGAGAGGAATCTGGAAAGGGGCTTTAGAGAAGTTTTAGTGGGGATACGTGTGACCTGGAAGGAACTGTCCCACTGTTTGCACACTTAAGAGTGATTGTTGCAGAAGAAGGACCGTAAGGATGGGAGCTAGACCGTCCGCATCTTCCTGGCCTATGCAGTCCCTCACATTCACACCTCTCTTAATCCCCCTGCCCCAGGGGTCACTTGCTTCATCTAAGGGGCTGCCTCCTTGTAGCGCATGGTCCGTTCTCAGAGAAAATGATTGATTAGTACATCAACTGAGATGGACTACAATTAGAATAGAATTCAGTTAATTGAATTAAACCTGTTTTCAGTGGGGAAAACACCGTACACGCTGTCCTAGAACTAAATGGAACATTTCAGGGATTATTGCTCCCAAGGCTGGATGTCCTTTGCCCCCATTCTTCCTATGAATTCAGATGTGAAATTTAAGTGGCCACTGAGTAAACAGCCCTAGTGAGTGAACAGGTTGTCTTGGGCCAGATACGTCTATTTCTGGAAGAGTTGGGGTGAAGGGAAAGTTGGAGGTGGGCAGCCAGGGGGTTCTGGGGGATTGTCTATAAAGGATATCTTAGATAAAAGGGAGAGAAGAGTCTTTCCTCTCCCTAGGCCCTGTGTTCCCAACCTCAAGCAGAGTTAGGATAGAGAAAGGAGTATTGCCTGTTGGATTTCATTTTCCATCTTGAACTTCCCCAATATCTCAGAGAAACTGAACAGAAAAAAACCCATTAAATTGAAATCTGAGTGTGGTACTGCTGCACATCTGGAATCCAGGACTCCAGAGGTGGAGGCAGGAGGATCAGATGTTCAAGGTCATTGTCATCTACGTGGTTCAAGGCTAGTCTGGGTTACATGAGACTCATTTATAGCATCTCATGCTGGTGTTAGGATGTAGACAAAACTCAATCCAAACCCAACTATACCATGTACCATTTGGGTTGCTTTCAACATGATTTAACCTCAGTTTTGTAGGGTTTTTTTTTTAAAATACTTTGGGGGCCTGCCACCCGGCTCCCAAATAAATACATAGAGACTTATTCTTATTTATGCATGCCTGGCTTTAGCTTGGCTTGTTTTTAGCCAGCTTTTCTAACTTAAATTATCCCGTTTCTCTTTAACTACATTTTGCCTCTGGCTTTTTACCTTTCTTTATTCTATATATCTTTCTTTCCTTCTTACTCCATGGCTGACTGTGTGGCTGTGTGGCTGGCCCCTGGCGTCCTCCTGTCCTTCTCCTTTTCTTGCTCCTCTCTCTTCTTCTCAAGGCTAGATTTCTCCTCCTATTTAGTCTCTCTGCCTGCCAGCCCTGCCTATTTCTCTCCCTGCCTCGCTATTGACCATCCATCTCTTTATTAGACCAATTGGGTGTTTTAGACAGGCAAAGTAACACAGCTTTTTGGAGTTAAACAAATGCAACCTAAAAGAATGCAACACATCTTTGCATCATTAAACAAATATATTCCACAGCATGAACAAATGTAACACATCTTAAACTAATATTCCACAACAGAGTTTAATTTCCTTATCTTTCAGGAAAAAAAAATGATAATGCATCTCTCAGTGGCTGTGAGGGAGGACTGGAGGGTTCCATACAAGACAAAGTATGTTTGCCAATACTGCTTTGGGAGTCAGGGACACAGATGTGGGGATAGTGTCATTGTACAATCTAGAACACAGCTTATGGAAGTCAAATACGATACTGTTTGGGGATCTCTAAGAACTTCCCTCCCATTGGATGGAGACAGGAGAGAAGCATCTCCCAAAGAGGGTACAAGCTCCCCAGGAGGAAGAGCACAGCAGCTCGCAGGGTCAGCAGACGGCTGTCCCCCAGGGACAGTCCCGGATGTCTGCTGCGTACTCCTTGGGGGAGTGAGAAGGGGCTGGAAAGACGAATGGAAATTTTCCTTCCACAAGGTGAAACTTTCCACTGGGCTTAGGTCTTGGAGAACCACAGGCCTGTTGAGTTAGTGGGCTGCCTGCTGCCTGTAACAGGAGCTAGGGCAGGGCCCCCCACTTCCTGTGAAAGCAAAGGAGCAGAAAGAAAGCCAGGAGCTGCTGTTCCAGCCAGATTCTATTTCCTCCTCATTTGAAGAGTAGTTACTTAACACCTTGGCCGTGACTTTCCCAGCCTCGGACAGAGTCTGTAGGTTTCACTCCTCGCGTTTCATTCATGCATTCTGGTTTCAAAGAATCGCTGACGTCCTTCCTGGAGTGCATGGGCAGGTGGGGAATGGAAGATGGAGAAGGAAGGAAATGGCTAGGACTATGTGGGCACACCTTGCCCTCCCCCCACCTGCCCTGAAGCTGGCCAGGTTAAGGGCACCTCCACAATCTTCCAGCCTCCTGGGAACCCCCTAACAGATATTTACCTGTTAAGGGGGAGAAAGGATGTTCATAGGAACCACACCGTGTAAGCCAAAGATGGAGACAAGCACAGCAGGGTCATCTCCTTATTCCTCTGTGGCGGAGGAAGCTGATGAGGCACTTGAAACCTCAGGCACCAGCCTCAGTCCAGAAACCACTCTGGTGTGTGTGTGTGTGTGTGTGTGTGTGTGTGTGTGTGTGTGTGTGTGTGTGTGCATGTGCAGATGCATGTGGCTCTGAGGGCCACAGGTTGATGCTGCATGTCTTCTTCTATTACTTTCCATGTTATTTGCTAAGACAGGACCCCCTACCCAGCCCAGAGTTCACCGATTGGCTAGACTAATTGGCCAGGGAGTTAGAGGGATCCTCCTGTGCTCCTCCACCCATCCTCCCGTCTGCCCCCCCCCCCCCCCATGCCAGGGCTGCAAACACATGCCACCATGCCTGGCTTTTTTTTTTTTTTTTTTTTTTTTTGGTTTTTTGAGACAGGGTTTCTCTGTATAGCTTTGCGCCTTTCCTGGAACTCACTTGGTAGCCCAGGCTGGCCTCGAACTCAGAGATCCGCTTGCCTCTGCCTCCTGAGTGCTGGGATTAAAGGCGTGCACCACCACCGCCTGGCCCATGCCTGGCTTTTATGTGGCTGCTGAGGATCTGAGTCTTCATGCTTGCTGTTGAGAAAGAGGTTTCATGGAGCCCAGAATTGCCTCAGATTTGCTTTGTAGATGAGGAGGACCTTGAACTCCTAATCCTCCTGCCTCCACCTACCAAATTCTGGGGTCACAGGCATGCCCCACCATGCCCAGCACCAACATCCTTCTTAATGTGTGGGGTTCGTAACAGGACGTAGAACTGCAATGACAGGCTGGCCGGAGGGAGTCCTATGTAATCACTAGCTCTCCTTCTCAGAGCAGCCGCTGCACACTCTAGGCAGCGCTCATGGACCAAAGGTGACTCGGAACAGGAAAATGCGCAATATCGGAGAATGCAATGCTCACTGCAGGGAACTAGAAACAGGCAAAATCCACAGGCGGAGAACATGGAGCTACCCAAATCCTGACACCCAAGAGCAGAAGTACATATGCAGGACTGTTGGCTGGCCAGTGTTGAGCAGTCAGGAGGGGACACATGAGCTTAGAAAAAGCTGACTTAAGACAAAGTGGGGCATTCATGACAGGCACAAGACCCAGGACTCGGGACATTTTCTGTTTTCCCTTTTCAGATGGCCTAGACCTGGATGAGCTTCAGCTGGAGATGGAGGACTCCAAGCCACACCCCAGTGTCCAGTGCAGCCCTGTTCCAGGTGAGATGGGGGGCTGGGGAGCTGGGGAGCTGGGGACAGCCAGTTACCTGAATGAAAAGCCAGTTTAGCCTGTCCGCTGTCACGTTGTAGATACTCTCTTTGCCCAGTGTTCCACCCGCTGGGGTGGAGGTGGGGGAGCCTCTTAGAATCCTCGACGAGAGGGGCAGGAGTTCTTTCCCTTGGAAGCAGGGGAAGGAAGCAGGAGGGTCGGGAAGGATCAAACAACCCTTACAACTCAGCCAACCAGAGGTTATGCATCTAGGTAAAAGTTGCTCTCGTGGAGGAGAGAAGTGAGGAAGAATGGTTGCTGGGGCTGCTGGGGCTGCTTTTTGAGAATTCCCTCAAGCACACACCACAGACTCACAGGGCCAGGTGGAGCTCTCAAAGAGCACCTTCTCCATCCCATGAAGAGTGGGATCTCTATTAAAATCTTCCAGGGTGGGAAAACTCCAGTGTCTCTGGATAATTCCTAAAGTACTGTTTAACCCTTAGAACCAAGGATGCCTACGATGTCTAATCTACAGCCATCAGACCCATGTTGCTAGAAGGAAAGGGGAGGGGCTCTTTTTCATTGATGGCACACAACCTAAGTTTTTTTTTTTTAAGTGTGGAGTCCCTTTCCTGTGTATAAAATACTAACAATTAAATTAGTTAGCATTTAGTTAGCAAAACAATTAATTAAAGGCATGGTGGTGCATGCCTTTAATTCTAGCACTCAGAAGGCAGAGGCGGATAAACTTGTGAGTTAAGGCCACCCTGGTCTACATAGCAAGTTCCAGGACAGCCAGAGCTACAGAGTGAGAACCTGTTTCAAAAAACCAAAACCAAACAATAAAATAACATGCCAACAGGCCATGCCAAAAGACAGCAGAGTGCTGCTTGGGCCAAGAACTGTTCAGAATAAACACAAAATGATGAACAGTTAGCTGTTTCTATTTCATCCCACCTCCGTTTTCCAGGTTTCCATACTTTATTGGCTTAAGCCCCTTGCCCAGAAAGCTTTCTGTCCTGACGTCGCGCAACGCCAGTTCTTAGCGCTTAGTGGCAAAAGCACGCCCCCTAGTGTCGGACAGAGGAAGGAAACAGACGGTAGGTTTTGCCAGAAAGCATGTGCTTCACCAGCTTGGCCTCAGGAATTGCATGTCTGAAAATCAGCAATCAACAAGGGTGAGGTAAAAGAAAAAGCTCTGAAAAGCAAGGTCCAACTTCAAATTGCTTTTAAAATAGCTCACACAAGCGGTCAAATAAATCACTGCACATCCTATGGTGGGGTGTTTATTTATACAGCCACTGAAAATATGTTTTTGAGGTTTCGAGGAAGTACACAAAGCTTATTAAGAGAATAAAATCTCAACCTATTTTAAATAATACATTAAAACCTGGAAGAAAATATATTAAAATAATGAGTTCTTTTTGAGAGGTGAGGTCATAAGCAGTTAAAATTTTTCCATGTTTTATTTTCAAATTTCCTACAATTACCATCTATTATTTCATAATCAGAAAAAAATGTTTTAAAAATAGATCCCACAGAAATCTCTTAAATTCCCAAGCTACCTAGCAATACATTGAAAAACAAGTCTGAAGCCAAAGGAAATGAAGAAATAATATGCCCAAAGTTATACAAGGTGACTTAAGAATCGGCACTGGGGAGGGAGATGGAAAAATGCCAGGATCTTACCCATCTAATGTGGAACCAAGTTGCAAAACTCCACAAGTTCAAAGTATTTTTTTCTTTGTTTTCAGTTAGGGCCTTGCTATAATCTCAGGCTGGCCTCAAACTCATCATCTTCCTGCCTCGGCTCCCTGAGTGCCGGATGTCAGGTGTGAACTACTATACTTGGCAAATTTTTCTCCATTTCCATTATGTACTCTGTCTCCCAAAGACTGATTGCCTGATGGACAGGCACTGTATTTCAAGCAAGGGAGAACCAGCCTATGTCTACTCGGGACTTCTGGACCATAGAAACTGCGGTGATTGCTTAGGCAGTCACCGTCATAAATGGTTGACTGGACAGCTCCTCTCTCATTCTGCTTTTGCCCTCGCCATAACTTCTCTTCACGCCTGTATCTCAGTCTGTTCCTTCTCTCTCTCCAAATCTTGCCTCTTTGGAAAGACGGTTTTTCTTCGCATTTCCTCTGATCTGGGTTTGCACTGTACCATGCATTATATATACTTCTGTGTATTTTCTTTGCAGTGTCTTCATAGTTTCTCCCCATAATTCCTGGAGTTTTCTGAGGAGGCCACTCTGAGACAGACATTCTCTACTGTTAGTCTCCTTTGCTCTAGGAGTCGTGTAAGCACAGAGCCTGGCATTTGCCAGTGAGCTGGGTTCTGGCAGCCCCGGCTCTGGGCTTATGTCTGCTCTCCTCTCTCACAGGCCCCTTCAAGCCCTGCGAGCATCTCTTCGAGAGCTGGGGCATCCGCCTTGCGGTGTGGGCCATCGTGCTGCTCTCGGTGCTCTGTAACGGGCTGGTGCTGCTGACAGTCTTTGCCGGCGGGCCCAGCCCGCTGTCCCCGGTCAAGCTTGTGGTAGGTGCAATCGCAGGCGCCAACGCCTTGACGGGCATTTCCTGCGGTCTCCTGGCCTCGGTGGACGCCTTGACCTTCGGCCAGTTCGCTGAGTACGGAGCCCGCTGGGAGACGGGGCTGGGCTGCCAGGCTACGGGCTTCCTGGCCGTCCTGGGGTCGGAGGCGTCGGTGCTGCTGCTCACACTGGCGGCCGTGCAGTGCAGCGTCTCGGTGACCTGCGTGCGGGTCTACGGGAAGGCGCCGGCGCCGGGCAGCGTCCGCGCAGGCGCACTGGGGTGCCTGGCGCTGGCGGGGCTGGCGGCCGCGCTGCCGCTGGCCTCGGTGGGCGAGTACGGCGCCTCCCCGCTCTGCCTGCCCTACGCCCCGCCCGAGGGCCGGCCGGCCGCCCTGGGCTTCGCCGTGGCCCTGGTGATGATGAACTCCCTCTGCTTCCTGATCGTGGCGGGCGCCTACATCAAGCTCTACTGTGACCTGCCGCGGGGCGACTTGGAGGCCGTGTGGGACTGTGCCATGGTGCGGCACGTGGCCTGGCTCATCTTCACGGACGGCCTCCTCTACTGCCCCGTGGCCTTCCTCAGCTTCGCCTCCATGCTGGGCCTCTTCCCCGTCACCCCCGAGGCTGTCAAGTCTGTCCTTCTGGTGGTGCTGCCCCTGCCTGCCTGCCTCAACCCACTGCTCTACCTGCTGTTCAACCCTCACTTCCGGGATGACCTTCGGAGGCTGTGGCCCAGCCCTCCGTCCAAGGGGCCCCTAGCCTATGCTGCGGCCGGTGAGCTGGAGAAGAGCTCCTGCGACTCCACCCAAGCCCTGGTGGCTTTCTCGGATGTGGATCTTATCCTGGAAGCTTCTGAGGCTGGGCAGCCCCCTGGGCTAGAGACCTACGGCTTCCCCTCGGTGACCCTCATCTCCCGCCAGCAGCCAGGGGCCGCCAGGCTGGAGGGAAACCGTTTCGTAGAGCCCGATGGAACCCAGTTTGGGAACCCACAACCTCCCATGAACGGAGAACTGCTTCTGAGGGCAGAGGGAAGCACGTTGGCAGGCCGTGGCTCTGCAGCGAGTGGCGTCTTCTGGCCCACTGGCCCCCTCTTTGCCTCTCACTTGTAAATATCCCTTCCTGTTTGTCCTCTCCCCCCTCAATGATGGCTGCTTATATATAAAAGAGAATACAACTAAAACTCCATGGCAGGACGGCCGACCGCCCCTGGCTCCATTGTTCTCTCTCCATGGTCATAACCAATGAGTGCTTCCAGGTCTTGGTGTGACCTGGCCTTCTTCAGCTTTGCTACCATCCTGGGTCTTCCCTGTCAAATCCAAATATGTAGAGGAGACCGGGAAATTTGCTTAGGAGAAAGGAGGAAAGTGAAAGACAGTGAAGGCAGTGGGGAGCGGACAGGGCCTTGATCAGTGAGCACTCAGTGAGCAGGGAGACGGCACACAGACAGGGGTGGACGAGAACTACCAAAGTCGCGGGAGTGTCTCCCCTACGACTTGTGGATAGGATATAAAATGTGTTCCGTGTTCCATTAATCTTGACCTCTGCCATGCGAAAGTGCTTCCTCTTAAAATATGCTTTGGAAGGCATTGCATATTATGTCCTTTTCTTAGAGTCATGGGGTCAAGTTAGTGACTGAGAATTAGGACCTTTTAATTTACTGCAGCAGTTAAACTTAATTATTTAATGATAGGTTTCTGTTTGCCCCTTGTGGAATACTTATAAATATCTCACAGAACTTAGCACGGTTTTCTCCCAGGGGACTCATCTTCACACCATGGAGTGCTATCCAGAGGCATCACAAGATGCCACCCTCCTTGAAAGCCCCTAAGAAGCCAACCTGGGGTGAAGTGCCAGAGGTGACTGGTGATTCCATCATCTAGGACAGACTTCATGTCTGTCCATCCTAGTCTTCCCACCAGGCCAGAGACCTGGAGGAGCCTGCCATAAGGTGGGGCAGGGAGAAAGAGACCCTTGTGTGTGTTCCCACACCACACAACCCCAAGCACTAATGAAATTTCTGCCCTCAGCAAGACAGGATTCTCAGGTTCTGGCAAAGTACACGCTGGGAAGTCTGTAGTTCCATGGGCTCCCCTAACTCGATGGTACCTTTGTGTGGTTTTATGTTGTTTGCCTCCTGTCACAGCCTGGACCTCTCTTCTCATCCCAATCCTGTTTCTGGGAGCGGTAGGCAGCCCAAGAGAAGGGATGTTTGTATTGTGGGTATTTCATTTTAGAGAGTATTGTAGCTCTCTGGGACTCCTGGATTCCTTCAGCAGGCCATTGATCCTTCTGCTTCTCTCTTCATGACCTTCCTTACCTTATGCTTTCCCAAGTGCAGTTGAGGGACTACGGAGTGCCTCCCACCACACTCCAAACACAAGAACTTAATCTCAGGGGGAGAAGGTAAGAAGCAGGGAGAAGCCAAGACTCAGTAATAGGTGATAATTGCTTCTGGGAACATCATTTATATTGAGAAGACTGAGTCTGGATCCTGAAGCCCAGTGGAGCTCTATTCTCTGCTTGAATCTTCTTGTGACCCTTTCAAAGAACTCCACCTTTGAAACAAGCTGAGATGGTCCTTCTCCAAGATTGCTAGTTACCTTTCCACAGCTTCTCTGCTGTCTCCCTCTGCCCCCAGTGCCCAGGAAAAAGTCTAGCATAGATCAACAAATGGGGTGGAGGGATCAGTCAGAGACCATGCATGGAGCGTGAAGCGTTTCTAAATCCACGTGAGTCACTGAGTAGCCCCTGGACTCTCAAAACTCCAAAGCAGAAGCAGCTTACTTTATAATTTCTCGGGGTCCTCTGATGGGGTCAGTTTCAGAGCAGGCATTCACTAAACGAGGGCACATTTATTTATCATGTCAGATCTCTATCTCCCCAGGGCAGATCTAGAGCCCTTGGTGGGGGAAAGGTTTGTTTTGTTTTGTTTTCCTGAGACGTGGTAGTTCTCTGAGATTCCCCAGGAATGGTAAAATTGGTATTAGTTGGGGGAGCATTGACTTCTAGAAAGTCGCCCTAGATTTTTGTTCTCTCTGCCACCACCACTATGGAATCATTGGTTCCTTTGGAGTAAGGATCCAGCCTTGAGGTAGAGTGGAGTGGCCATAAGTTGATGGTCAGGGAATATAGGAAGTGTTCCTTAAAGATGTCTTCTATGAAAGTGAGCCGGTCCTTGTGGGCTGCAAGCTTTAGTGTGGCACTGTTGTAGCCTTATTGACTGCTTCTAAAGATCTGGGCGTTGGCCAAAGCTGGACTTTCCCATTAAAGAAGAGGCGAGGGATATGGGAGTTGAAGATGTCCTCTATAAACTATCATTCAAAACATCTAGCCAGGAGTGGTGGTGCATACCTGTAATCCCAGCATGTGGGATGTGGAGGCAGAAAGATGGAGAGGTAAGGTCATCCTCAGCTACACAGTGAGTTTGAGGCTAACCTAGGCTACATGACTGTCTCAAACAAACAAACCCAAAATACTAGTTCATGTACATTTGCCCCCAAATAAGATTGAGTAGCAGAGTTTCTCTGGGTTTTGTTTTGGACTAAATTTCTAGCAAGTCAGTATGTTACTCCTTTGGTTCTCTTCTTTGTGGTTAGTCGAAGACCATACGTCTTCTCCTAAGCAAATTTCCAGGTCGCTGTTCTACATATTTGACAGGAAAGACCATGTGTCTTTGATTCATCACAGGATGGAAAATCGAACTGTTCAGAGCACATGAGTCTTCTGTTGTCATCATTAACAAAATCTTCCAAAATAGTGTCCATGGCAAAGAATCCACTCCAAGGCTAAGATGCCGGAGATAGAACTGTCAGGACTTGGTATGTACTGCCTTGGGCTCTGTGTGCTGTGCCCTTAGCTAGTGCCAACCATGATCTTAGACTGGGGAGAACTTAAGGTAGACCTTGCCTTGCTAAGCATCTCAAATGAAAAACCAAAAACAAATGTAGAGCTAAAAATGGAAGAGTGTGAATTAGCAGAGCTTCTTCCTCTTGGCCACCTCTCCTGAGCCTTTGGGCTCCCTTTTCCAGGAAGAGTAATGGAGGAGAGGAAAGAGCCGGCAACAGGCAGAAGGCCTGCGGGGCCAGGATGGAAGGAGGCAGTAGGAACCCCGACCTTCCTAGCACCAATCCCTCGACTACCTCTGCTCTGGGTTACCAAGTTCTCCTACCTATGACCCATCACCTCTCCATCCCTTCTGAGTTCCAGTCCCATGCCCTCCCCAGCCATGTGAAATATAAAAATTGTCAAGATGTAAATATCCGGATTCTTCTGTATAATAAAGCACTGATGAAGTATGCATGTGTCCTTCCCCTCTTTTCTGCTGCCTCGGGGGGAACCATGGGTGTGACAGAGGTGGGGTGCTTTTGAGAGGGTCAAGCTAGTTACCCTCCCCCTTTCTGAGTTCTGGGACCTTCAGACCACAGCCAAGGAGGCTCATGTTGATAACTTGGAGGAATCAGAACCAGTTTTGGTCATGCGTGCTGAGGTGTCCTTTGTGTGCACCGGGTCAGACAGAACAGAGTCGAAAGAGAGCCTGGAGCAGCTTAGGTTTCCTGGGTCTCAGAGCCCAAAGTCTCGTCGGCCCCAGCCTACTGCTGAGGTTTCCACTGAAGAATCAGCTTGTTTTCTTTTTAGTGGATGGACTTCCCCACCTACTTTCTTCCTGCCCCGGAGCCTGGCTTCAGGGTATGATGACATTCCCATGAAAAGCAGAAGCCCTTCCTGGGGAAGGGAAAGAGATGAAAGTTGGCAGAACCATGCCATCATGAGAACAAGATGCCTGTTCCAGCGTGGTATCAGGGTCTTCCTGGCTGTCTTGGTTAGTTTTTTGCCAACTGGACACAAACCAGAGTTAACTCGGAAGAGGAACCTCAATTGAGAAAATGCTTCCTTCAGATTGGCTATAGGCAAGTCTGTAGGGCATTTTCATGATTTTTGGTTTGGGAGGACCCAGTAACTTGGGGGTGGGTGCCACCCCTAGGCAGGTGGACCTGAGTTTGTTTTATTGTTTGTTTGTTTGTTTTTTAAGAAAGCAGGCTGAGTGAGCCATGGGGAGCAAACTACTAAACAGTGATCCTCCATGGTCTCTGCTTCAGTTCCTGCCTCTAGGTTCTGCCCTGACTTTTCATGATGGTCTGTAAACTGTAAGCTGAAGTAAACCTTCCCCTCTGCAAGTTGGTTTTGGTCAGTGTGTTAGCACAGCAATAGAAAGCAAATGAAGACACTGACCTAGTGCTGGAGGCCCTCCTCCTCCCCATTTACCTCCTCTTCCATTCCTAAATATTGTTCCAACTTGTTTTTTTTGTTGTTGTTTGTTTATTTTTTTTTAGCTGATGCAGAATCCCGATACCCTTCTGAGAACACAAATGATGTCTTCATAAACACCTGTCCTCTGTTCTTTTTGAACGGAATATCCCAAATCCCTCATCCTTCTCAACTACAGGGAAGCCCATTTCTCAGCCTTGTTAGACTTGGCTAAGAGGAAAAATGTGAAGTTAACGCCAGTAAATGTGTCCCTTGTGGTGCAGAATCTGAGCGTCTAAGCAAACCCAAGACCAGAAAGAGTCCTGGCTTGGTGGGGCTTTTTATCTAAAACCAGAGGCTGTTCTGGTGGAGACGGCTCTGGTTTTCAGCCAGTGGGATTCTGGTATTAGTCACCCATGCCCACCAAGAGCATGTTCTGTTCTGGTATTAGTCACCCATGCCCACCAAGAGCATGTTCTGTTCTGGTATTAGTCACCCATGCCCACCAAGAGCATGTTCTGTTCTCTGGAGGCCTGTTTTTATGTCTATCTGCTTTGCAATCACGACCAACTGCTCCCTTCTTTCTTTTGTTTAAAAGGTTTAATCTAATTTTTGAGCAAGTATTCCATTTACGTGATTCGCTGTCTCTCCTCTCTGTTCCTATTTGTTCCTCTTCCCAAGCCTTCACTGGTGACCACCGTTGTTACATCTCACCCTTCCGGAATGGCCATGCATAACACATGCAGGCACGTGAATGCATGAGAGTCTCATTGCAGCTCAGACAGGCCTCAGACTTGCTGTCTAGCAGAGGGTGACCTTGAGCTTCTGATCCTCCTGTGTTTACCTCCCCCGTGCCAGAATTACAGGCACATGTCTCCATATTCAATGTATGCAGTGCTGGGGGCCAAACCCTGAGCATTAAGCCCACTAGGCTAACATTCTACCAACTGAGCTACATTCCTAGTATTCCCCACCACCACCATCGCCTTTTTGTAATACTGGTGATTGACTAGCCTTCTGCATGCTAGGCAAATGCTCTCCTAGTCAGTCGGATTCCAAGTTCAAAATTTTTCAATCTGTATTTAAAAAAAAACGGCCGGGCGGTGGTGGCGCACGCCTTTAATCCCAGCACTCGGGAGGCAGAGCCAGGCGGATCTCTGTGAGTTCGAGGCCAGCCTGGACTACCAAGTGAGTTCCAGGAAAGGCGCAAAGCTACACAGAGAAACCCTGTCTCGAAAAACCAAAAAAAAAAAAAAAAAAAAAAAAAAAAAGTATGTACTTAGTACTTATTTCTTTCTTGTAGAATACCACAAGAATGCTTCTGCTTTTTTAAAAAACGATTTGTTTCAAATATCAATAAAGCCTTTTCATTTTTTCACAGCAGTTTATATCCATCAGGTGCTGGTTAGTTTTTTGGTTCTGTTTTTGTCAAGTTGACACAAGTTACAGTCATCTGGGAAGAGGGAACCTCAGTTTCTCAATTGAAAAAAAAAATAAATGCTTCCATAAGATTGGCCTCTATGGGCCAATCAAATGTCCCTGTAGGGGCATTTTCTTAATTAATGACTGATGATGGAGGGCCCAACCGTGTGGAGTTGTCACGCTGGGCAGGTGGTCCGGGGAGGTATTAGAAAGCCAGCTGGGAGCTGGAGAGCTGCCTCATTGGTTAAGAATACTAACTGCTCTTCCAGAGGACACAGGTTCAATTTCCAGCACCCACATGGTAGCTTACAACCACCTATAACTCCAGTCCCAGGGAATGTGATGCCCTCTTCTGGCCTCTGAGAGCACCAGGTACATAAACGTACATGCAATCAAAATATCCATCTACATAAGATACTTTTAAAAAAGAAATCTGAGCAAGCCATGGAGAGCAAACCAGTAAGAAACATTTCTCCATGGTCACTGCTTCAGTTACTGCCTCGAGGTTCCTGCTCTGCTCTGGTTCCTGCCTTGTCCTCCTTCAATGATAGACTGTGATCAGGACATGTAAGCTGAATAAACCCCCCTTTTCCCTTGTTGCTTTTAGTCAGTGTCTCATCATTGTAACAGAAAGCAAACTAAAACAGAAATTGGTACCCAGACCATGGACTATTGCTGGGACAGTCCTGAACATGTTGTTTGGGGGAAGATTGTAGAAATGGTTCCAACTTTGGTCAAGAAAAGCCATTGAGTGCTCAGAGTTTAATGAGCTGTTGTTGGGGTTTGGGAGATAAGAATGGTGGGAACAATGTGGATGATGGATACCAAGATTGTGAAATTTCAAAGGGAAGTAAAGACTTTCAGGGCTGTTCATGTACGCAAACGAAACCTTTGCTTTACGGGGACAGGCGAGGCTAGCTATCTGAGGCCAAGATATTAGCTGTGATTAAGAAAAGAGCAGCATTGCCGGCTGGTGGTGGCACATGCCTTTAATCCCAGCACTTGGGAGGCAGAGCTAGGCGGATCTCTGTGAGTTCAAGGCCAGCCTGGTCTAAGAGTGAGATCCAGGACAGACACCAAAACTACACAGATAAACCCTGTCTGGGGGGGGGGGGGAGAAGGAGGAGGAGAAGGAGGAGGAGGAGGAGGAGGAGGAGAAGGAAGAGGAGGAGGAGGAGGAGGGGGAGGAGGAGGAGGAGAAGGAAGAGGAGGAGGAGGGGGAGGAGGAGGAGGAGGAAGAGAAGAAGAAGAAGAAGAAGAAGAAGGAGAAGAAGAAGAAGGAGGAGGAGGAGGAGGAGGAGGAGAGAGCAGCAGCATTAAGGTGAAATTTTCTGGGAACATTTCTTCAGAGTCAGCACATAGAAATTGTGGTCCAGAGCAGTCCAAGCCTGCATCTCATGTGGGCAGCCAAGGGTCTCCCAGCTAGCTGGTTTAGAAAGCAGGAAGGGGTCATGGAGAGCAACTGAGGCTTGGCACTGTGAGAAGCTATTGGTAAAGGTGCAGCCTCAGCTGAAGTAGAAAACCCATGATTAAAGGGGTCATGGGGAAAAGCTGAGGCCTGGCACCATGAGGCAGGATCAGAGTCCCTGAAGAGAGCCTACTGGTCTCACTTACTGTATCCTCGGTCTTTTTCACAGGATCTAACAGAGAAAAGAATGCTTGGTTACTTTCTGTTGAGAGGGAAAGAATAAAAGTGAGTTTGAAGTGTGTGGTGTATGGATGGAATTCCAGCACTCGGGATATGAGGCAGGAAGATCAGGAGTCCAACGTCTTAAAAACATTTTTTAAAGAGTCAAATTAAGTACATCCTTAATAATTGTTCCTCAATTTGTCCAGGAGAAGCCAAGAATAGAGAACAGCAGAGAACCTTATGTCTGAACTAATTCATTTATAGTCTTATATTCCCTCTCCCCTCCCCCATCTCCATTTCTATTTGTGTGTGTGTGTGTGTGTGTGTGTGTGTGTGTGTGTGTGTGTGTGTGTGTGTGTATGTGTGTGTGGACACACATTATGACAGAGCTTATGTGGAGGTCAGAGGACAAGTTGAGGAAGCCAGTTCTCTCCTTCTATCATATGGATCTTGGGTATCAAACTCAGTTGTCAGGCTTGGTGGCACATGCCTTTAAGCACCGAGCCACACCACCAGCTCCTATATTATTGTCTGAATTAGAACTGTCTCTAAGAACTGTCACTCGGACTCTCCATTTTCCAGGTCTGTGTCATGACTTTTAGATATGTCCTTCGGATTTACAAGACAGCGTGAGGGACTAAAGAGACAGCTCAAAGGTCAAAGCACTTGATATTCTTACCGAGGCCTTGGGTTCAGTTCCCAGCGTGACCATGACAGCCCACAAACACCCATAATTCTGGGTCCTGGGATTCAATGCCTTCTTCTGGCCTATGTGGTCAGCAGGCACAGTCATACACATAAAATAAATCTTAAAAAGAAGAAAACACTGTGCACAGATTATTTAGAAGGCAAGGTTAAAGGTTTGAGTCTCTGGCCCTCCTCTCCCGGCTAGCATGGTTGAAATGATGCCACTCTAATTACCAGTTTCTTTAGATGTTTCCTGCCCAGTAATCACTTCCTTTTGACAACTATTTCCTTCAGGAAGTGTCCTGCTGCTCCTACATCACATGGTTCCATAGACTCCAGGTTTCACAGTTGGGAATTTGATCTGGGCTTTATCAGCACTGTCTTTGGCTTCACTGATTAGCCAAAGGAGGACTCAGAGTCACATCTTCCATTAAGATCTGATCCAAGAACATTGGGGTGATAAGAAGTACTGTCCCTGGAGCTGCTGGGCTGGCAGGTTGCACAGGCGCTGGTGTCTGTCTTGGCTCCTAGAGAACAGTGAATCCTGACATCATTTGAGGATCTGTACTAGCCACACCTAAAAAGCAGTGAGCCAATAATTTGTGTGTTCATGTATTTTGGCACTTGCATGGAAAGAGGCCGAAGAGTCTTTTTAACAAGTCCCTCCTGTGTTACCCTCTACCCAAACCCAGCAGAAGTGAACTTACTTGTCCTCTTGGCACCCTTAGGATAGTAGAGGCATCTATTGAATGGAGTTTTGGTGGCCAAGGGGGATTGTCAGAAGGACCATTAGGATAGGCTATTGTCTTAGTTACGGTTGCTATTGCTGTGATGAAACACCATGACCAAAAGTAAGATGGGGAGGAAAGGGTTGATTTGGCTTATGCTTCCACATTGTAGTCCATTGTTGAAGGAAGTCAGGACAGGAACTCAAACAGGGTAAGAACCTGGAGGCAGGAGCTAATGCAGAGGCCACGGAGGGTTGCTGCTTACTGGCTTGCTCAGCCTGCTTTCTCATAGAACCCAGGACCACCAACCTAGGGGATGGCACCACCCACAATGGGCTGAGCCCTCCCACATCAATCACCAATTAAGAAAATGCCCCACATGCTTGCCAACAGCCCAACCTCATGGAGGCATTTTCTCAGCTGAGGCTCCCTCCTCTCTGATGACTCTAGCTTGTGTCAAGTTGACATAAAACTAGTCAGGACAGCTATCATATGGACATGGGGCTAGGTGGGAACCCCTATGGAGTAACTTAAGGTAAGAGGATGCTGAAGCAGGGGGTTGGGGGGAATGGAAAGAGCAGGTGAGAACCACTGGGTGCTGCCCTGTGTGGATTCCGCAGTTAGCATCAGAACTGCACAGCTGTTGAATGTTAGCATCAGGAGAAAGTGTAGGGAGCATTCACTGTCCTTGGGTTTTACTTAACCTCTCTGTTGCATTATCATCAAAATGGGAATGATAGCACCAAAATGCTGCAGGTTATTGGAAAGATCAGATTTTTTTGTGTAAAGGGCTAGTACCTGACAATGACTCTCCACCTAGTAGAAATCTGGAGATAGAGAACTCAACCCCTAGGTTGAGGTTTTATGGGTGCTTTTGGTGGGAGGTCTGAGGGAAGTTGCTTGGAGAGGAGCTTCTTGTCCAAATTAAATAATCTCAGGGTCCTAAGTGAGCATGGCAGGCGACGGTAGGGAGGGGACAGTCTAGTGGGATGTGGTATCAGGAAAATAAAATCAAGAAAAACAAGGACACGAAAGGGTAAAGTCCTGGAGTCGGGTGGGGAGGATGAAAGACATTAGGATAGACTGTCATCTCTGATATAAACTATTTGTTAGAGAGAGGGACGGCCATTCCCCGGGGTAAGGGGGGCATGGCAAGAGGCAGGAGCAACACTTGCCAAGCAGCCAAGTGGAAAGCGTTGTTCCAGGACATAGCATGTCTGTGTCCATTGCCCCGCCTCTACTGGGTTTCGCTGGCAGCACTGCACAGGCCTGGATTGCAAGCTGCCTTGCAGCCAGTTATCCTGGGAGCAGGTTCTAAAACCACACCCCCCCCACGCCCACCCTGTCCTTCCTTCCCTTTAGGCCACCCCAACCTAAACAAGACAACCTGGGCAGGGGGGCCACACGCTGATGGAAAAATACACACTTGGCTGGAAAAGGAACTTTATTTGTATGTGTTGAATTCCCGAAGCAGCCGAAGGATAAATAGCTAGTCCTAGCCTCAGCTGTCTGCCCACAAGGTGGGTGGTAAAATCTGTTCTTATTTAGATAGCTTGTGGGGAGAGGTGAAGAGGGGGACTGGGTGGGGGGCAGCAGGAGAGAGGAACTTGGAATCTGCAATGTTTATATGATCAGTCATGGATGTCATCTCTCCTCTTTAATTAGGGGTTTGGAGTTGAAAACACTGCTCAGTTTGGTTGTCCCAGGAACAAAGCAGACTGGCAAGGAGGCTGAGGGCATGGCAGTTCCTCAGGGCTCACCTATGGCTGGATCACTGTCTCCAGCCCCCTGCAAAAACTCTACAAATGTCAACTTTGCTGTGCCCCGTGCAGGATGCTTTACAAGCATTATTTCATTCCATGCTCACAACACTCTGAGTTAACTACCACAATGTGGCTATTTTACAGAAACAAAACCCCAAAAGGAAGGTCTAATATTAAGAGCACACAATTGGTAAGCAGTACCCATCAGAGCTGGAACTGCCTTTTCTTTTTCTCCTTTTTTTTAAAAAAAAAAAAAAAATCATTAAACTTTTAAAATTTAAATAATAATAATAAAAAGACAAGGTCCTGTAGCTGGCCTTGAAGCTGGCCTCAAATTTGATGGGTAGCCTAGGGTAACTCTGAACTACTGATCCTCCTGTCTCCACCTCCTAAGTAGTAACTAGGTCTTGACTTCATCCATGTTTTCAGCCACTTTCCCATCCTTCCCTGACTGAGGAGGAATTTGGACTTTTCTAATCTTTGGACATGTTACTTCTCTTCCCCAGCCCAAATCCTCTATAATGTTTAAAGAGATGGATGGATAGATGACTACCTTCAGCTCTGTTTTTTTTGTGAGAAGTCCTTATAGCCACTCTCCCCAGTGCATGGAGCCAGATCATAGACACAAACATCCTCTTAGCTAAGCTATGAAGAAAACTAGTTGAGTGATGATGGGTTATGGGCCGGAGAGTACCTGAGGCTCCAGGGCTCCAGGGCTGCTTTAGACTGGATGACAACTGCGGCTGCATTTGAGCTGAGACTATCACGGCAGATGCAGGAGGTGTATAAGGGGGAAGGGGGCAGTGACGATAAAGCACAAAGGGCCTTACGGGTCAGGGAAGTGGACTAGTTTTTTGTTGTTATCTTCATTGCAAATGGAAGCCACTTGGAGGGTCTCAGGAGGGAAGCTAAATCAGACTTCTAATTGTCAAGAGACTATTCTCGCAGCTGAGAGCACCACAGAATAACAGCGGCAAGGAAGCGAGAAGGTGCTGGGCGCCAGTACAGGTGACAGATGATGGCAGCTTCACCAGAACATTGGCAGTGGGAGGGAGGGAACTGGCGGAGCGGACTAGTCTAGGTGATACATTAGTGTGCCGGGAGTTTTGCTGTTTAAGTCACGTTTGCACCTGGTTTAGCCTGAACCAACTAGCACAGAGCATTTCCCTGGCACAGGGACTGCTCTTAAGGTAGCCAATGGAAAGTAGAGCTCCGGGGCCGGCTGGATTTGAATAAGAAAGAATGACTGCTGTTGGCATTCACCTCAGAGAACAACCACAGAGAGAGCTGATAGTATGTGTGCAAAGCAGATGGAGTGGCCATGACCTTCAGGAAATTGCTGAGCCTCTGAAGCCACCAATCCTCTTACCCTACTCCTTTCCATTTAGGAAGGCAACGGATTTCCTCATTGCCAGTCTGCTTTCACTCACAGCTGAAATCACCCTAATCTAGGAATTCTAAGTCCACCTAATGAGTTAAGATACAAATGTGGGATAAAATTAATTCCTAGACTTTAAAAAGAGAATAGGAACTGACTCTGAGAAGTGGGTTCATTCTGTAAGGGGGGCTGGAGAGATTGCTCACTGGTTGAGTATTTACTGCACTTGCAGAGGTTTGGGTTCCCAGCACTCACACAGCAGTTCACAACCATCTGTAACTCCAGATCCAGGGGATCTGATGCCCTTTGGGTTCCTGTATGCATAAGGTGCACACCCACCTACCCATGTACAAACACATGTACATATAATTAAATATTTTTTAAAAAGAATTCTGTAAAGATAGGTGATCTAACTCAGCAATACAGTTTCTGCTTGCCATATGCAAGGCCCTGAGTTCAATCCCAGCACTGAAAAATAAATCTGTAGAAGTTAGAAATTTACATTTTCCAGTAAATGCAACCTGTCACTAATGAAGTAGATAAATCCACATTTATCTTCTTTGTATGAGTCCAGCACATGAACAGCAGCAGACAGTGCTAAGTGACAGTGTAAGAATACCCTTCACAGCAGATGCAGAACACACACTTATTCATAGATGCACTGTATGTATGTGACATCTACCTTGTGTATAAAACCATCCCTGCTACACTGGGATACAGAGACGGACAGACAGAGTCTTTCTGTCTAGGTAGCTCTACCCTCTACATTCCTCAGTCTTTCACACAGTACAGCTATCAACTGACTTATATTCCAATATGTCATCTCTGTCACTTAACTGGATAACAGGATTGGGAGGTTAACTGGCCAGTTAACATTCCAAATCCACCAGAAGACAAGTGTATTATGAAATCACAAAGGGGATTTAAGTTTGGCAACTAATTATTCAGAATAATATTTGTTATGGGTCAGGCATGGTGGTATATGCCGATAATCCCAGTACTTGGGAGGCAGGGACACTCCTCCGTGCATCTGAGGTTGAAGAAATGAAAGCTACACTACAGTAATTTCGACCAGTTATATAAATCACAAAGTGAAAGCTGAAAACAATTAAACACTGACAAAGTGTACACCGCCTTACTCCACAGTGTTAAGGCTTCTGAAAAACTACACTCCCCAAAGCCTAAGGGTAATGATTTTTAACAGCTCTTTTTCATCTATTCAAACATTCTGTGTCTCTAGTGACGGTAAGTTGACAAAATATTTTAACATTCTGATCATATAGCACTATAACCAGTTCACTCCCAGACACACATTTAGGATAAACACATACTTAACATTAAGTATGATTTATTTTTCAAGTTTAAAAGTTTTCAAAATACATATGTACAAGATAAATAAAACAAACTATCCTTAAAGAATCACTGCATAGCACAATGTGTAAACACACAAGGTCTTTTATAAGGATACAAACATTATGTCATCAAACACAAAGAAAAACATTCGAGAAAAGCAAGCAAAAGAGACCACCTTGTCACAGCCTCCACTAACTAAGAGGGACCAGGACACTCTCTCTGAACATCGGGGTGAAACTTCTTATCTGGGCCTCCCAGTGGCCTGGCTTTCCTTTTCTGTGTACAGTTGTCTTCCTCACGGTCACCGACCTCCGAGGAGTCTTCTAGCACCTCTTCACCAGCCTAAAGGAGAAAGGAGTGATCACAACATTCACACTCATGTTAATGGGGAGAAGTCGAAGCTCTGTAGTGCTATTTCCTGATAGTCTTTAAGATTTTAGTGTGCATATATTTCCTCCAAAAGCATCTTCATCAACTTTTCTTACATAATTACAATTTTCTTACATACATACATTTTTTCACTTCAAACTTTATCAACTCAAAAAGCTAGATATGATGTATGCCTGTAACAATCGAGAGGCTAAGGTAAGAGAACTACAAAAGTTTCAGGCTAGCCTGGACTACATAGTAAGTTCAAGTCAGCTAGGGCTATATAAATCCTGCCTCAATCCAGGCAGTGGTGGCGCACGCCTTTAATCTCAGCACTTGGGAGGCAGAGGCAGGCAGATCTCTGTGAGTTCGAGGCCAGCCTGGTCTACAAAGCGAGTTCCGGGAAAGGCGCAAAGCTACACAGGGAAACCCTGTCTTGAAAAACCAAAAAAAAAAAAAATCCTGCCTCAAAAAAACAAAACAAAGCACTCTATCAAATTGAATACCCCCCTTTCCATGAATGGTCCCATAAGAAATAAAACTTTCCCTCCTAACCCTACTTTCTCATTGTTTTTGTAACTAGTCTCTGGCTCAATTTATTAAAAATATTAAAAATGACAAATCAGAGCCGGGCGGTGGTGGCGCACGCCTTTAATCCCAGCACTCGGGAGGCAGAGGCAGGTGGATCTTTGTGAGTTCGAGGCCAGCCTGGTCTCCAAAGCGAGTTCCAGGAAAGGCGCAAAGCTACACAGAGAAACCCTGTCTCGAAAAACCAAAAAAAAAAAAAAAAAAAAAAAAAAAATGACAAATCAGAAAAAAAACGAGAGTCCCCTTCCCTCTATCCCTGCTACTCACAAGAACACAAAGACATCAAGCAGATGCTGCCTGCCCTCTAGTGTTGTCAACGGGTGATAACTGTTAGGACCGAGGCCAACCGTTAGTTGAGCATCTGAGCATTTTGCTGAATAATTTTTAGATGGTCACAACAGGGGAAAGAAGCCAACTAGCTGTTCTAGAGTATAGCATGAATTTAGAAAATTTAATAAATATTATTTAGACACGTATGTACTCTATGGTTATTTATAAATGCTTGATCTGGGATACAAATCTATGTACATATTTTTAAAAGATGTATTTATTTTTAATTATGTGCCTATGTGTGTGGGTTTCTGTACATGTGAGTGCAGGTACCTGTGGAATCCAGAAGAGGGTGTCAGATCCCTAAGAGCTGGAGATACAGGCAGTTGTGAGCCTCCTGACAGGGATGCTGGCTGCTGAATTAGGGTCCTCAAAAGAGGATTCTGCCCTCTTAACCACTAAGATGTCTCCCCAGCCCCTGGCATATACTATAACATGTATAGATACATACATATGTGTACATGTATATATATTATATTTTACTAATTCTTTGAGAATTCCATACAATGTATTTTGATGATGTTCACTCCCTATTTCTCCCTCTAATTCCTCCCAGATCCATCCCCTTTCTCCAACATTGTGCCCTCTTTTTATTTTTAATTTAAAAAAATTTTTTGAGACAGGATCTCATTATGTATTCCTGGCTGGCCTGGAACTTACTACGTACTCACTATGCAGCTCAAGCTGGCCTCAAACTCACAAGAGATCTGCCTGCCTCTGACTCCTAAGTGCTGAGATTAAAAGCATGTACCACCATACTGGGTCTTAAAACGTTTTTGTTTTATTTGTTTTGAAATATAACCCAGCAAGTCCAATTTGTACTACCCATATACTCATTGGTGTGGAGCCATCCACCAGAGCATGGTTAACCTAGGAGAGGCCTTCAAGAAAAGTAATCCTCCATCCCCCAGAGCTATCAACTGTCAACTGTTATCGATTTTATTAGTGCCCCAGTCAAGGATGGGAGCTCACTAGCCCTTCCTCTCTCCACGGATACAACACTTGAACTGGTAATAGCAAATATCATACCTTTTGTTTTTGTCTTGCATGAGTCTCTGTCCACTGCCTGGCATTCTTGAGAAAAGCTATCTTATTATATTTAAATTCTGAGGACTGAAATGAAATCAGAGTTAAAACAGAGAAACAGTGATATGCTTCGATAAGCTCCAGCTGCTGAAGTATTAAAGGTACAGATAAAGGAGGCTATATGCTACCGATGAAATGGGGATACGTACAATGTCAGCCATTAGTGGGTCATCAGGATTGGGTTCTGCCATGAGCAGCTGAATAGAGGTCAATACAGTAGCAATGTTGAGGGATGGTCTCCATGCACCCTATATACAAATGAACAATTGGTTTTGTATTAGAATGTGGCATTGTTGAGCCAGGCATGGTGAGTCATGCCAGTAATCTCAGCACTAATGAGGTAGAGGCAGGAGGACCAGGAGTTTAAGGCCATCCTTGGCTATAATGTGAAACTACACACACACACACACACACACATTCCAAGGACTTTTTGTTTGTCTGCCTGAGTCAGGGTTTCATGTAATCCAGGCTGGTTTTGAGCTTGCTATGTCATTGAGCATGACAGGGTTTAGCTTTGGAGCCTGTCCTGAAACTTGCTCTGTAGACCAGGCTGGTTTCAAACTCAGAGATCCGCCTGCCTCTGTCTCCCGAGTGCTTGGATTAAAGGCGTGCTCCATCGCTGCCTGGCAAGGATGACCTTTTAATTCCTGATCCTCCTGCTTCCCTCTTTCAAGTGTCAAGAAAACTGTTGGCATTCTCTAAATGGAGAGTCAACTCTTTAACCCCACTCACTTTCGGTGGCAATTTGAGAACATCTAGACAAATCCTTCCATTAGAATCAATGTTTGGATGATAGATTGGTGTCAGAAATCTGATCTGCGGTGGCTCAAATGGGTACCTGTGAATGTGTAAGAACAGGAAGTGATTACAGGCATGCACCACCATACTGGGCCTTAATTTTTTTTTTTTAATATAACTCGCCAAATCCAATTAACGGTGCCCATATACTCATGGGTGTGGAGCCATCCACCAGAGGATGTAATTTTAAAAGTAATTCCCTAGTTATCATTTACTATTCAAACTTCCTAGTCACCACATTTTAAAAAAGGATTTATTTATTTTTATGTGTGTGATTGCCTGCACATATGTGTGCCTGTACACCATGTACATGCCTGGTACTCAGAGGCCAGTAGAGGATGTAGGATCCCCTGGAACTGGGGTTATAGGTGGTTGTGAGCTGCCATGTGAGTGCTGAGAACTGAACCTAGACCCTCTGTGAGAGCAGCCACTAAGCTACCTCTCCAGTCTCCAAGTATTTTTACAGCTGTGCTTTACAAACAAGCTCCAACTAGACTTACACATTACATTTAGTTATCATATCTCCTTAGTGACACACAAACCTTCCAAAACTCCCAGTCTATTTTCAGAATTGATGTGTGACACAATTCAGCTACTCTTCAGGGTGTGACAAGCTTGGCCAGGACCCAACTTGGTAGACAGATGTCCAGTTTCAATAGGTAAGATACTCCTTCTTCAGTCTACACACAGAGCTGACAGGAGACCTGACTGAGGGGCCTAACCTTGAGGTGGAAAACACGATGGTGGTCGCCAAGTGTTGGTGTCAGGGAGGGCTCAGGGTGGATTTTTAACGGGTCTGAAGTTAGAGCTGGGAAGATGAAAAAGTTCTGGAGATAATAGTAATAGTTGCACAACAGTATGAAAATGTATACTTAAATGTTTACAAGAGTCAATTTTATGTTATATAAAATATATATTCACCACAATTTTTGGAGGGGCGGAGATCAGTTATGATTAGTCCGTTATTTTAGAGAAGGAAACCAAACTCCGGAGAGACAAAAACAACTTCGCACATCAAGTCATGTATGACTAGGATAACACACAGATGCTCTAAATACTATTCTGCTCTGTCTTCTCATGGCTGCACCTTACCATAGAAGCTGACCCTAACTCGTACTCACCTCTCAGGAACGATAACTTCCAGCGTGAAAACCCCTTTCTCATAAGGTGTGTCGGCTCCACCTAATATTTCTTGAGAAAAGAAAGGAAGAAAAGTCAAAAGGGAACCAGATGCTTTGAATTAACCACTCGCAGAGTTGAGGATGTAACTCAGTAGAGTGCTTTCCGAGCGTACATAAATCCCTAAGTTCAACAAGAAACAATCAATGAACCACTGGCATAGGTTGAAATTTTAGTACTCCAGAGGTGGTGGTGGGGGATCAGAAAGTCAAGGTCATCCTTGGTTATAAAGCAAGTTTGAGGCCAACCTAGGATACATGAGACTCTTTCTCAAAAGGCAACAGAAACTGTATCAAATGAACCTCTTAAGGCCTGCAGTTCTGGATGCAGGGCTGGAGAGATGGCTCAGCAGACAGAGTGCTTGCCCTTCTTCCAAAGGACCAGAGTCCGATCTTGGCACTCTATCAGTCGGTTACAACTAGTGCCTGTAACTCCAACTCAAGAGGATCTGATGCCCTCTTCTGGCTCCTTCAGGCACCTGTACACATGTGCCCGTGATCACACACATGAATTAAAAAAAGGAACTGGGTGTAGGACAGTAATTCAATTAGGGCTTTAACTGAGTCTCCATGCAGTGTCTCCTGTCTGCTACCCAGCCTCCAACACTGCGGCACAGCTAATACTTAAACCTGTGTGTGCACACAATGCCACGGCATGTACATGGAGGTCAGAGGACAACTTATAGGAGTGGGTTCTCTCCTTCCACAGGGAGATGGATCCTAGAGATGAAGTTTAAGTTGTTACGCTTGGTGGCAAATGCTCTTACTCACAGTTATCTCACTGTCCCCGCCCTCCAACCCACAACAAAATCTTCATCGAGACAAGATCTCAGTCTGGAGCCAGCTGGCTTCAAACTTGAAGCCATCCTCTCTCTCTTGCCTCAGCCTCCAGAATCCTGGGATTAGACATGTGCCACTAATGTCAGCTGAGGACCTTCGTTACAAACCAGTAAAAGATATAAGCAGTCAAAGACCTTATGAAAGCAGACCAACTAAGAAAGAAAGATGGCGGGGCCTTCACCTTCCCACTCCCTACGTTCAAATATACCAACGGGTGCATCTTAGGACAATCTCCAAGAAGGCCACAGCCACCATCACGGGCATGATAGGATACCTACGAGCTCGCAAATCATCCACTCGGTCCTTTTCCTGCCAGCACGTGACGCCTGGGGGAGGGTCTACGGCTAACATACGCAGTTCTTTCTTCAGGCGTGAAGCCCTCTGCATGATCTCAAGTAAAAGGAAGCAGGGACAGTCCACTGCTCCACTGCGAAGGGCTTGTGGGGGTGTACTGGAAAAGAAAAGAAGCAACCATGAAACAGCCACAAAGACTAGCATTTTTAGCCCGGCTTCAGTTTAATGAGGAACAGATTCTTAGTATTTTCTTGTCACAAAGGGAGCCTGACTTTTCCATTTCTGCAAGAACTTTTACAAATAATAATAATAATTTAAAAAGTTTAAAATGAAGGTCTGCTTCCATTACTAAAGTATAAAGTCATGAGGACAGAGCCTGGGTCTAACTCTGCTCTCAAATGCATCCTAAGCATGCCTGGGCAGAGAGGGACTGGGCAGCCGTACGCAGTCTATATGCTGTGTGTGAGTGAGAACAACACAGCCAACACTCGGAGACACGTGTAGGCTAGTGTTTCAGTGCCTGACGTTCTCTCCGTGTATTATGGGCTCTACAGTTCCCTAATTCTTCAGGGAACTCACTCTTATCAATTAACCCACCTCACTCTAATCTTTCTGTCATCAACATCCAAATATGCTCAAAGTCTCTCTCACCTAAAATAACACTCAAACACATCCACTCAACTAGTAACCACCTAAAGGACATCATTGTTTTGATTACAAATATAATCTCACAAGTTATAGCTTATTTTGCTACAAATTAGATGAACACATCTTTCTTTTCCTTGCAGTGCTGGGGACTGAACCAAGAGTTCATAAGTTGTACTCAGGCTTTTGTTTGTTTGTTTTTAATTTTGAGCCTTAGTTGCCCAGGCTGACCTTAAACTCACTTTAGGAGGGAGGCCCTTAAACCTGTGATTTTCCTACCTCAGCCTACACCAGGTCTAGCTAATGAATATATTCTTTTTTTTTTCTTGTTTGTAGCTGGAGTTTTCCTGCCTGGCCCACAGTCAGGACAAATCTCTCTCACCTGCCAGTCCCACAGCCACTCAGACCCGACCAAGTAAACACAGAGACTTATATTGGTTACAAACTGTATGGCCGTGGCAGGCTTCTTGCTAACTGTTCTTACAGCTTAAATTAATCCATTTCTATTAATCTATACCTTGCCACGTGGCTCGTGGCTTACCGGCATCTTCACATGCTGTTTGTCATCATGGCGGCTGGCAGTGTCTCTCTGACTCAGCCTTCCACTTCCCAGCTTTATTCTCCTCCTTGTCCCGCCTATACTTCCTGCCTAGCCACTGGCCAATCAGTGTTTTATTTATTGACTAATTAGCAATTTGCCATACAGAACATCCCACAGCACTTGTTTGTTTTTTGAGACAGGGTTTCTTTGTATGTAGCTCTGGCTGTTCTGGAACTCAGAGATCTGCCTGCCTTTGCCTCTGGAGTGCTGGGATTAAAGGTGTGCACCACCACCACCTGGCTTATGAATATATTCTTTTAAAAAAAAGATTTATTTATTTATTATGTATACGGAAGGGGGTGCCAGATCTCATTACAGATGGTTGTGAGCCACCATGTGGGTGCTGGGAATTGAACCCAGGACCTCTGGAAGAGCAGTCGGTGCTCTTAACCTCTGAGCCATCTCTCCAGCCCCATAAATATATTCTTAATGTTAATCTATTTAAAAAATTTTCCATACTCTCACATTTGAAGATATTTTCCTACATATTCTTTAAGTTTAAAAAGCATAACTTTTGGGTTGGAGAGATGGTTCATGGGCTATAGTCACTTGTTGCTTTGCCAGAGGACCTGGGTTTGGTTTCCAGCACCCATGTGGCAGCTAACAACCATCTCTAACACCCTGGGCACCAGGCATGCATGTGGTACACAGCCATACATGCAGGCAAAACAGCCAAACACATAAATTAAAAATAAAATTTTGGTATTTATATTTAAATCTTTCAGTTACCAGTAATTGTTTTTTGTGCATAGTAAGAGGTAGAAGATCCAATTTTAATTTTCCCCCAAATGAATAGCCAATTTAAAAAGCACTATTTAAAAAAAGAAAAAAAAGGAAACTCCACCCTTCTAATATTACCATGAATTAATTTCCAAACACGTGTGGATCTGTTTTGAGTCTTCTAAATTTGTTCTACTCACATCTGGAATATTCTGAATTAAAACGCACTGTTCCAGTTACTATAGCTTATTTTCCATTTTTTATTTAAATTGTTTTTAGTTCAGAGGCTGGGGATGTAGAACACTTGCCTAGTATGAGCAAGACCCTGCACTACTAAAGGTATGTGTGAGGGGTGGGAGAAGGTAAGTAAATAAGTATTGCACATATTAGGCTGGGCATGGCTGGCACACATCTATAATCTGAATAATTGGGAGGCTGAGGTAGGAAGCCCATCCTGGGCTATGTAGTTTGAGGCCAGTGTTGGGTATATGAGACCCTGTCTCAAACAACCAAAGCTATGTTCTGGTCCTGTGTGGTCAGTCACACTCCTAATTAGAGCACTAAGCAAGGTGAAGTGGGAGGATTACTCTGGGTCTGAGGACAGCCTGGGCTATGTGCGAGATCCTCTGTATTAGGTATTTTTCCCTTGCTGTGTCAAAACACCAGACAACAACAACTCAAGAAAAGGAAGTGTGTATTTGGCTCACAGCGTGAGGATACAGTCCAGGGCAGTGGGGACTGCACCTCTGCAGGAACAGGAGGCAGCTGGTCACCCTGCTCCTGCTTCCATAGTCAAGAAGCAGACATAAAGTTGGCACTCACCTCAGTGCCTGGGACCCCCTGTCCACAGAATGATCCACCCATATTTATAGTTGGTCTTCTCACCTCAATTAACCAATCTAGAAATGCCCTTATAGACATGCCCAAGGTTTGTCTCCTAGCTGATTCTAGATCCTATAATTAAGTTGACAATATTAACTATCTCACCCTATCTCAAAACAAAAATCTCTCTATTTTTTACTTATTTCTTACTAGTATACATAAACATAATTGATTTTAACTAAAACCTTAACTCTGCAGTTGAATCCACTTGAGGTTAAGAAGAGAGATGGTAATCCTAATAGTAACACCCATGTAAGGTTACTTCTAATTCATTTCCTGTCTTCTGTTTTGTAGATAACTTCCGTCATGACTAGAACTGACACCTAATTGTAGATGTAATGAACCGTCTTATTAAATAAGAAACACAGAACCAATGCAAAGAAGAAAGCCAAGAGGTCAGAGCTAAGAGCTAAAACCTTACCCTTCCTCCTGCGGTGGTCCTACCTCTCCGAAAGAGAGCCACCCCTGTGTTAAAGTCTTTATAAAGACTTTTGTTTCTGCCTTCCCATTGGTTGCAAACCCAACCACACGACTGCCTCGTCACTGCCTGTCCACACCGAGATCAAAGGCGTGTGTCTCCAATGCTGGCCACATCCCGAACACACAGAGATCTACCTAGCTCTGCCTACCAAGTGCTGGGATTAAAGGCGTGCGCCACCACTGCCCGGCTTTCCTATGGCTTGCTAATAGCTCTGACCCAGGGCAACTTTATTTATTAACATACAAATAACATTTTAGTACAAAATAAAATATCACCATACACTCTGTAACCCAGGCTGGCCTCGAACTCACAGAGATCCTCCTGGCTCTGCCTCCTGAATGCTGGGATTAAAGGCATGCACCACCACTGCCCAGCAACTTTCAATATTTTTAAATGGGTTTACATTAAAATTTAATTTTCTCAAAAAGTTAACACCAGGACAAGATGTAATTTTGCCAAACAACCATTTCCTAGATTATCAATATGTTAAAATGTGACAGTAGTCTGTAACTCATTTTAGGTGACTAACATAGCATAGCAAACTGGTAAGGACAAAAGTAGAAGAAAATGATGTGCTAATTGCATCCTTGAGCACAGTGTTGAAAGCTTTCCTTTTGAGATTGGAAATCAGAAAAGAATATTAGGTATGGTGATATTTTATTTTATACTAAAATGTTATTTGTATGTTAATAAATAAAGTTGCCCGGGGTCAGAGCTATTAGCAAGCCATAGGAAAGCCGGGCAGTGGTGACGCATGCCTTTAATCCCAGCACTTGGTAGGCAGAGCTAGGTAGATCTCTGTGTGTTCGGGGATGCGGCCAGCATTGGAGACACACGCCTTTGATCTCTGTGCCAACCATGGAGGACCTGGAGGTCTGTGCGGACAGGCAGTGACAAGGCTGGGTTTGCAGTCAATGGGAAGTGACTCTCACAGGGGGTGGCTCTCTTTCGGAGAGGTAGGACCACCGCAGGAGGAAGGGTAAGGTTTTGGCTCTTAGCTCTGACCTCTTGGCTTTCTTCTTTGCATTGGTTCTGTGTTTCTTATTTAATAAGACGGTTCGTTACATCTACAAGAGTGAGTTCCAGGAAAGGCTCCAATGCTCCACAGAGAAACCTTGTCTCAAAAAACAAAAACAAAACAAAACAAAAAGAATTATTCAAGTTTTCAACCAATTTTGACAAATTAAAATTTTCTACAAAGCATGGTGGTGCACACCTTTAATCTCAGCACTCAGGAGGTGGAAGCTGATAGATCTCTGAGTTTGAGGTAACCTAGTCTACACAAGACGTACCAGGCCATCTAGAGCTACAAAGTGAGAACCTACAGATGATAAATTTTAAATAATTTAGATAATGCTCATTTTAAAATTACTTGTTTAAAAAAAAAAATACTATTTTAGCCACACAAACCTAAATGACACTTACCTGTGATCCTAGTACTTGGGAGCCTGAGATAGGAGTTTGAGACTAACCTGGGCTAGACCATCTTCTTTGCCTTTCCTTATTTTTTCCAGGCATGTATCAATTCTATTCATCTTTAGAAATAACATTAAATACTTCTCTGTTGAAAATGTATTTTAATGCCAACAGTTTCTGTTCCTAGCTTTATCAGTGACATCTTTGTACTTTCTTAGTTTTCTTTTTCAGATTAAGGTCATTTTCCTCCTTTGCAGGTAACTCCCAGTCACCCACCCCATCCTCTCTCTCATTGTTTTGAGACAGAATCTCATGTATTCCAAGCTGTTTAAAACTTGCTATGTAGCTGAGGATGGCTTTGAACTTCTGATCCCCCTCTTAAGTTTCGAGATTACTGGTGTATACCACCATATCCAATTTATATGGCAATGGAGATGGATATTTGGCAAGTACTCTACCAACTGGACTATATCATCAGTTTTCAAATTTTCTCTTTAAATGTAAACATGTAAGGCTATATGCTTTCCAATTTATATTTCATCCCCCGAAACTATGATAAAAAGAACATTGTTCTATCCTTGATATTCCAGGCTGGCCTAGAAGTCTCTATGTATGTAGCCCATGCTGGTTCCATATCCTTCTGCCTCAGCACTCCATATGCTAGAAATCATAGGCATGTGCCATCACACTCAGTCATGTTAATGGTTTCTAACATGTTACTTATATCCTTTAAAATTGTTGGGTCTTGCTCAGCATGTCCTATGTGTGCTTAAAAAGAATATCAAAGTTAGGGAGACAGTTCAGTTGGTAAAATGCTTAACATATATTTTGAGGACCTGAGTTTAACTCAAGAACCCACACAAAAAGTGGGGTGTGGTAGTGCATGAGTATAATCCCAGCACTTGGTTGGGGGAGAGAGAAGAGAAAAATAACTTTTGTAAGTTATCCTCGATCTTTCCACTATGCTATGGTACACACGTGCGCACACGCGTGCAGAATAAATGTAATAAGAATGAAAATAAAAATCTGTATTGATCATATATACAAAAATAAAATTATTTAATGCCAAAAAAGATATCTCTTCAGCAACTTAAAAAAATAGTTTAGCTAGTTGTGGTGACAGAGATCTGTAATCTTATTGCTTGGGAGGCAGAGGCAGGAGGATTACTGAAATTCCATACCAGCTTGGTCTATAAGACAAGTTCCAGACCAGCTAGGGATACATAAAAGATCCAGTCTCAAATAAAACAAGGGGGGTGTGGGTGGGAGGACATGATGGGGGACGGGAGTGATGGACAACTGGATAGGAGTAGTTCAGTGATTAAGAGCACTTGTTGCTTCCACAGAGGACCCGAGTTTGATTCCCAGCACCCACATGGTGGCTTACCACCACCCATAACCTCAAACCCAACAAGCATACATGTGCTGAAAATAAGTGCATATATGAAAAACATTTATACACACTAAGTAAAAATAAAAGTAACTGGTCATCTGTCTCCCTATCCATACAACAGAAAAACCTCAGACTAACTTGATTTCACTCTTGATTTACACTATTTCGTATCTTAATTCTATCATTGGCTTTCTTTTTTTTTTAAGATAGGGTTTCTCTTTGTAGCCCTGGCTGTCTTTGAATTCAGAGATTGGCCTGCCTCTGAGTGCTGGGATTAAAGTCATGTGCCACCAAGCCCAGCCTCTATCATTTTCTTTAAGCCCAAGGAAGCATTGTTATTTTATACAGTAAATGTGAAGAACTATTTTCAGTAAAACAAAAACCTTCCAAATATGGGGGACTGGCAAAACAGGTCAACGGGTAAAGGTGCTTGCTGCATAGGTCTGACAACTTGATTTCAATCCCAGTAGTCCACAGTGGGAGAGAACAGTCTCCTCAAAGCTGGCTTTTGACAATCAATTACAATAAAACTCTATCTACAATTATAAACTGTATCTTTGTTTAAAAAAAAAAAAAAGAGAGAACACGGTGAAAAGGCATGCTAATTGCATTAGAATTAAAAAAAAAGGAGCCGGGTGGCAGTGGCCCACGCCTTTAATCCCAGCACTTGGGAGGCAGAGGCAGGCCAATCTCTGTGAGTTCGAGGCCAGCCTGGGCTACAGAGCCAGTTCCAGGAAAGGTGCCAAGCTACACAGAGAAACCCTGTCTCGAAAAACCAACACCAAAACCAAAAAAAGCCACCGCCAAAAAAAAAAATGGCAAGTTCTATTAAAGAAGCAACAAGACTCTTTATGTTAACACAACTTGGATATACAAAGTCCTCTGAGGGCTGGAGAGATAGTTTAGCTGTTAAGAGCACTGGGTGCTCTTCCAGAGGACCCAGGTTCAATTCCCAACACCCACATGACAGCTTATAACTGTCAGTAACTCCAGTTCCAGGAGATCCAACACCCTCTTCTGGCCTCTGTGGGCACGTAGTGCACATACATATATGCAGATAAACACTCATCCACATGGAATAAAATAAATAAATTTTTTTTTAAAGTCCTTTGGCTTAAAAGCCATCTGCTACCGTGTATTTTCTGAATATAAAGGTTCTTTACAGAGCTGGGGGTGGCATAGACAATGGAGGTGCCTGGGCAGGAAGTCTATTCCAGGCCAGCCTGGGTTACAGCAACACCTGTCTCAAAAACAGCAAAACAAAACTCCCAAATAACCATAACAAAAAAGTTCCTTACATTCTAGCTCCAACAGGTGTTTTAATTTCTTTTCTTTTTCCCCCGAGACAAGGTTTCTCTGTGTAACAGTCCTGGCTGTCCTGGAACTCACTTTGTAGACCAGGCTGGCCTCGAACTCACAGAGATCGGCCTGCCTCTGCCTCCCAAGTGCTGGAATTAAAGGTGTGCGCCACCACTGCCGGGCGTGTTTTAAAAAAATTTTTTAACCGGTGTTTTTAGCCTCGTTTCCAGTAATTACTTCCCACAAACGTATGCTTACACTACACGGACTGTTCACAAAATTCCTTCACACCTGGGTGTGCGTCCACAGCAAAGGACAATTCTACCTCTGCAGGTCTTTCCACCCTCTGTGCCTCTTCATATATCGGCAGCCTGTACGATTGATTCACCTCAGATTCCGGAGCGCTGGCGTTTTGTTTTGTCCCGCAGGCCTGCGGTAAATAATCAAGGAAGAGAACCTGGCTAGAGGTGGCAGATGCTGCAGGGAGGACGGAGACACGGCTTTGGAACGCACAGAGCGGTTCTCTCTCACCGCGGTGCTCCTCCCCGGGCGGCTCGGGTAGAAACGGGAATCCTTGCCCAGATTCACTGTGACCGCGGGGTGCGTTCTCTCCGGCCGCAAACGCAGCGCTCCTCAGCAGCTCAGCTCCGCTTGCCACCGGGGGCGTCTGCCGGGTCCACGCTGAGACCGGAGACCGTTGAGATGACTCCACCCCCGTCCAAGAAATGACTATGATTGGTCCGCAGCCCTCCCGGGAGAGGCGTGCGCACGCCTATTGGCCAGCGCTCCGAGCCCTCCGCCCGCTCACGCAGGGTTCAAATTGGTGCGCGCGCACCCGGACCCGGCGTCCCCAGTCCCGGCTGTCCTGGTGCTTGCAAGTCCGCTGTGAGCTGGAAAGGCCGGGAAGTCACCTAACAGGAGGGAAAACGAAAGCAACTGGACATACTTAATCCGGAGAAATGACTGCTGAATGGCTGCTTTTATTTCTTTGTTTTGGTTCTTTGAGACGGGGTCTTGCAATGCAGCCCTGCTTAGCTTGGAAGTTGCTACGTAGCTCAGGCTAGTCTGGAACTCCTGGCACTCCTGCCTCAGCCTCCTAAGTGCCTCAGCCTCCCAAGTGCTGGAATTAGGCGCGCACTACATCACCCAGGCTTTAAGTAATGTGAAATTACTTAAAGGTGAAATTACTACTTCACCTAAGACCAGTAGTAGTTGAAAGATAAAAGCTGAACATGGTGGCGCAGGCAGACTAAGATAAAAGGATCGAGAATTTGAGACCAGCCAAAGTTACATAAATTTCCTCCAACTGGGAAAAGAAAACTATTTTTTTTAAAACTTATAATTCTGCTGGACAAAGCATTCCACCAGGGCTCCGAAGAATAAAGCAGATATAGTGGAGTTCTTCACCATTGTAAGTGTTCAACTACAAGCTAAGCAAGTTAGGGGTAGTGCAAAAGAGACCCTTTGCCACTACGTGGGCGATTAGTAGGATGACTGTCCTCTCCCCTCCCCTTCAACTGTACTGAAAATTAAACCCAGGTCTTTCTATATACTGTGCCAGCTTTTGATCCCTGAGTCACACACCAGCCCTGAAATCAATGACATTTTTTTAAGTTGGAAAAAAGTTTTTTAGTTAATTTATTTTATGTGCATTGATGTTTGGCCTGTATGTGTGTCTGTGTGAGGGTGTTAGATCCCCTGGAACAGGAGTTACAGACAGGTGTGAGCTGCCATGTGGGTGCTGGGAATTGAACCAGGGTCCTCGGAAGAGGATGATCCTCTGGAAGAGCAGCCAGTGCTCTTAACCGCTGAGCCATCTCTCTTGCCCTGACTTTTAAGCACTCTTCTAACTTTAGAAAGGTAACAGGGACTATGGGGGTCCTGCCCCTCGGTAGTCCTCTCCCAGAGTCTGGGGACAATCTACAACCAGCTGATAATCTAATCTTTGATGATATGAAATGAATCTACGTACACGAAACTCCTTAGTCCATATACTTTATTCTTCTGAGTCAGTTCTCTACAAAGTTTCTACTCTGCTCTCACGCCTAACTCCTTTCTTGCCTGATTTCTCTCTACATTTATCTGCTGTCCCCTCTAAGTTTTATCTTGATTCTCTCATCTTAGTTCCGCCCCATCTAAGTTCTCATCCATCTAGTTCTTTCCCATCTTAGCTCCTCTCCCATCTCCTTCTTCCTCATCTTGTTCTTCCCCATCTGGCTCTTCCTCATCTTCCATCTCGTTCCTCTAGTCCTCTCTTCTAGCCCTTCAATCTAGTTCTTCCCCATCTCAGTTCATTCCCCTCCAGTTCTTACCCATCTAGTTCTTCCATTCTCTTTTCTCTTTACTGTCTAGTCCACCCAAATCTCTGAGGTTTACAGTTATATACCCATACAATAGCAATGCTCTGGTTAAAGCAAGGTCACCAGGCTTGAATACCCTCAAGGTCAAAAGGAGGGGCAATAAGATCCACACAAAAGAGCAGTAATTGCCAGCCATTATCTGAAACCCAAAAGGGAAGTGACTAATGGGTAATAGAATCAACTGAGGGCTAAATTCAGTTAATATCTAAGCAAGGGGGATTTTATGTGCTCAGCTATATTCTTAGAAGTGGTTAAAGTGTTAGGAGTCTATCAGTGACGAGTGAAAATAAAACTGTCTTATTTTCCTTTGGCCCCTTATCTGTCCAAGTTATCTTGGCTACTGCTGTCTGGCAGTTCTTGGTGGCTGGGCAGCCTGAGTCAGCTTGATGGACCTGTAAGTAGAAACCCTTTAGTTCTGAGTTAATACTTAAAGGTAGATCTAAAACTAGAGATAAGACTTTGGAAAGGGAGAAAGTTAAGCTTAATTAGCACATCTGCCAGGCCTTCTCAAACAGATAGTCTGGATGCTTAAGTCTGTTCTTAGAGAGTACAGAGGTATCTCTGATAAGATACTTTCGTCCATGGGGGGTGGGGGAGGGTGGTCCTGGCCAAATGCTGCTAATGACAATAATGACAGAAAGGCCTGAAATTAGGGATCCTGGCTACGTTACTGCACAGAAGCTTATCTGAATTTTCCATTAGTAGAGGGGAAATTGGGCCTAGTGAAGGATGGAAAAGCTACAATACAACATGAGAAACTCATAGTAGGAAACAGCTAATAATCAAAAGCCAGTATCACCAAGACTCCTTAAGCCTCAGCTTGACCTCTGGAAGGCCCTTGGCTTCTTCCAGGTATTAGCTTTGTCATAATCAGCTGAAATCCTACTGCATATATTTTTGCGGCTTGCAGCAGAAAGGTAATATTTTCTGAACAAGGAATTACATGCTTATAGCCAAGTTAGCCATAACTACACAGCTGGGAGTGTGGAATGGCATCTCAAGACCTGAGGCTCTGCAGAGCTGGGATTCGGCTTAGACCTTGGGAACCCTGGGAGGTAGGACCCCAAATCAACCGACCAACCATTCTTCCTCTTAACTTTCTCTGTTCCTAGGTTATTGTGCAGCTTCAGAGCAGTGTAGGTATAGAAACAGAAATCAGTCTCTTTCTGAACTTCTAAACCAATATAATCTTGGCTACTACAGTGATTTCTGCATTTAGTCCAAACTGATGTTAAGCAGCAACTGATTCCTCACGAAGGTTGCATGGTGTGTTTTGGCTGGTGGAGACCCTCAAATTCACTAGGACTCTGACCTTGATTCTCCTCTGGGCTTCCCCACTTTAGTTGTAGGACTGAACCAGTGAGTAGCTAATGAGTTATGCAAGTTATTATAAAATCATGAACTATAAAGAATCATGTGCTGTGGGATGGTCTTTCTGTACGCTGTGAATATATGTTGCTACCATTGGTTAATAAAGAAGCTGCTTTGGCCTATGGTAAGACAGGAGACAGCTGTGGGGGGGGGCGAAATCCAAGAGAGATACAGGGAGAAGAAAGGTGGGGTCAGAGGAGATGCTGCGAACTGCTTGCTGCCTGAGAAGCAAGATGCAATGGACCTCAGGTAAAGCCACGAGACACGTGATGATACATAGATTAATAGAAATGGGTTAATTTAAGATGAATGAGCTAGTTAGTAATAAGCCTTGGCCATAGACCAAACAGCTTGTAATTAGTAGAAGCCTCTATGTGTTTATTTGGGATCGAACAGCTGCGGGACACAGAAAAGTTTCCCGCTACAATCACACAATAGTCTAACCTGATTTTCAAGGTTGTGTATTTATGGTTAGGATTTACTCATTGAGGTAAAGTGTTCTCTGTTAGCATTTTGGAGTTACTTCTTATTTTACTACTGCCATTTCCTGATATTTAACCCTTTCAACATCTTACCCTTCCTATTCCAACAGTGACGGTATGTCACACTAGTTCCACTTTCAGAACTGAAATGGAGCTTTCCTTGGATGGTTCTCTGAAAAACAGAATTAAAAAGGTCCCTTAGAAAACTCACAAACTGTATTGGGTTTGGTGGGAAGGAGCAATTGTAGTTTGGAAAAAGGAAAGGAGAAAGACAGAAAGAGCTCCATCTAGGTGTACAGTTTTGTTTGTCCACCAGAGGGAGGTATGTTACTGATGGGAATAGAGGCTGGAAAGACTGCCCTAAATGCTACTTTTAAATTTTTTAATTAATTAATTTAGGAATTTTTTTCTTTTTTGAGACAAGGTCTCACTATGTAGCCCTGGTTGGCTTGGGGCTAGCTATTTAGACCAGGCTGGTCTCCACCTACCTCATAGAGATTCACTTCCCTTTACCTACCAAGTTCTGGGTTTAAGGGCATGGGCTACTGTACCTGGCTCTAATTTAGGATTTTTGAGGCAAGGGCCTCATTCTGAATTTCAGACTGGCATCTAACTCACAACAATCCTCATGTCTAGGTATTATCGCTATTTATTTTATTTTGTTTATTTGAGGTAGGGTCCCATATAGCTCAAGCTGGCCCCAAATTCATCATGTAGCTGAGGCTAGACTTGAACTCCTGATCCTCTTGCCTCTATCATCATCATCATCTTCTTCTTCTTCTTCTTCTTCTTCTTCTTCTTCTTCTTCTTCTTCTTCTTCTTCTTCTTCTTCTTCTTCTTTTTGTTTTTTGTTTTTCAAGACAGGGTTTCTCTGTGTAGTTTTGGTGCCTGTCCTGGATCTCACTCTGTAGACCAGGCTGGCTTTGAACTCACAGAGATCCGCCTGCCTCTGCCTCCCGAGTGCTGGGATTAAAGGCATGCGCCACCACCACCTGGCTTGCCTCTATCTTCTAAGTGTTAACATTATAAGCATGTGGCCAGCATGTCATTATTTTTTAAAAGTAGAGTGCTCTAATGTTACAAGTCAAGTGTGAATATGGAAAATTATTACTTGGTAAAAGTTTGTTTTACACAATGGCCTCTGAGTTGGATCAGTTATATTTATTTAGTGAATGAGTGTGCTGTGTGGAAAGAGTACATGTGGTATATATATGTGGTACATTCAAGTACACAGGTGAGTATGTACACCCACATAGCTCATGTGGAGTCCAGGGTATTGGGGTGTAAATGGAATATTACTGTCCCAACCACCTGTTCTCAAAAACCTGGCAGCCGCTTCCCAAATTACCACACAGAGGCTTATATTAATTACAAGTACTCAGCCAATAGCTCAGGCTTGTTACTAACTAGTTCTTACAACTTAAATTAACCCATTTTCATTAATCTATGTCTTGCCATGTGGCTCATGGCTTTACCTGTCCTCCAGCATGTCTTGCTTCCTGGGAAGGCTCGCTGGTGTCTCTCCTGACTCCCCACTCCTTCCCATCATTCTCAGTTTGGCTTTCCTGCCTAACTTCCTGCCCAGGTACTGGCCTGTCAGCTTTTTATTATCCAGTGAGAGTAATACATATTCATAGTGTAGAAAAGAATTGTTCCACAGCATTGGGGATCATCCTCTATTTTTCTACACCTTATTGCCTAGAGACAGGTTCTCTCACAGAACCAGAAGCACAGTTTCCCAGTGCTGGGGTTACAGGACAATCAGCTGTGCCTGGCTTTTTGTGTCGGTGCTGGGGACTTGAACTCACATCCTCATGTTTGCAGAGCAAATACTCTTACCCACTGAGCCATTTTCCAGGACCAGTTATTTTGAAAATACAAAAATGTTTTATTTGAATCCAGGATTGTTTGTTTGGACTTAATGTGTAGTTAAAATGCTTTATTAGAGTGCTGGAGAGATGATGTCTCAGCAATGGAGAGCACTTGCTATTCAATTTTGAAGACCTGAGTTCAGATCCCTGCACCTATTTATCAATCTGGGGTCCAGCAGACACCTACAGCTCCAGGGCTCAGGGAACTGATGCCCTCTTCTGGCTTTGGTGTGTACTTTTCCGGAGCTGAGGACTGAACCCAGGCAGGACCTTGCTCTTGCTAGGCAAGCGCTCTACCACTGAGCTAAATCCCCAACCCCCCAAAACAAAAACTTTTCAAGTTATAGGAAGATGGATGTTTTGTGGTATAATTTTTGACTGATGTGGTTAAACTAATTAAGATATTAATAATTACTATTACTTTTAGTAATCACATAGCTGGAAGATACATTGTGGGGAATTCACCAGAGAAGACCACTAGGACATGGGTTTAAGCCAATAGAAACTCTTTATTAGCCGGCTAGCTGTTGACTACATGGGTGTTCGGGATCCCACGATAGCACTGAGACTTTCTCGGGATGAGCTTTGAAGCACAAAAACCGTGTTCTGGGTTGACATGCTTCAGTTAAGAAGAACAGTTAGCCAGAAGCAGAACTGCATGTGCCAAAAAGCAAGGTTAGTACGTGTAGAGGCTTTCCCGGGACTGTGGGTTTTGATTGATGGATCAGGTCTTTGTTTTAGTTTTGTCAGATGGTGCTGTCTAGGTGCTGAGTTTTACAGCCTGAATGGAACGTCCATCCTGGAGTCACGTGTGCTAAGGTCTGGGGCCCTGTTGCAATTTGTCTCTATTTAGGTAGGTATGCACTTTAATTATCTAAAGAATTAAACTTTTACTGTTTTCTGTAAAAGTCTCCAAAGGAAGTGTTATACTCTTACCTTCACAAGAAAGAAGAAGAATAGCAAATATAACAGTTATTTATAAGAAAGTAGTATTCAGTATTCTTCCTGTTTTCTGAAAACTCCTATCATTGAGATCTATCTATCTATCTATCTATCTATCTATCTATCTATCTATTTTTGAGACAGGGTCTCTTTTGCCCTCGGTAAAATTCCCTACATAAAGAAAGCTTTGAACTTTTGACCCATCTGCCCCCACTTCCCAAGTGCTGGGGTTACAGGTAAATGTTTGTGACCATACCTGGTTTATACAGTACAGGACTTTGTGCATGCCAGGCAACACATCAGGTACATCCCCAGCCCCAAGACTGAATTCTTGTTGAAATTTGAGCATATTTATATGATGGCTCATTCCTGGTACTTAGGAGGTTGAAGCAGGAGGAAAACCATGGGTTTGAAACTAGCCTGGTTTCTTGACAACTTGAACTATGGAGAACCTGCTTCAAAAACAACAATAATAATAAAAAGAATGAAAGAAGAGAGAGACAGAGAGGGAGAGAGGAAGGAAAGGAAGGAGGGATGGAGGGATGGAGGGAGGGAGACAGAGAGAGAGAGAGAGAGAGAGAGAGAGAGAGAGAGAGAGAGAGAGAGAGAGAGAGAGAATGCAAAAAGAACATAGCCAAAATCTGGGATGTGAAGTCAGAAGGATCAATATGCCACATTCATCTTTGATCAATCTGAATAAATGAGACTCCATCTCAGACAAAGCAACCAGAATATAGTTCCACAAGGTGTAACATTATTAATCCCTGGAAATTTTTATCTCATCTTTAAAGTCCTTACTAGAAACCAGTGTGTTGGTAAAATATAAAGCAATAGTGAAACACAAAGCTGAGTAGCTGTCATTTACTAGGAACAGAATACTAAAATCGTTCAGGAGGATTGCAAAGAGAGTTAAGCTGATGGGTTAGTAATCTTTCCTGATTTATCTATTTGTTTGTTCGTACTTAAGACCGTCTCCTTTGGTAGCTTAGGCTGGACTCAGACTCTTCCATACTCTAAGATTATATGTAGGTGAGTGTCATCAAGTCCAGCACCCACCTTATTTTGATATCAATTTCTCTTTTATTCTTTAGACAGAGTTCTATTTAGGAACTTTGGACAATTTTAATGATCAGCAAGAAGAGGTTCCATGTTGACAAATTACCAAGAAAATCTCATCACTTTTAAAAATGTTTTTTGAGCCTAGTGGTGGTGGCGCACGCCTTTAATCCCAGCACTCGGAGGCAGAGGCAGGCGGATCTCTGTGAGTTCGAGGCCAGCCTGGTCTACAGAGTGAGTTCTTGGACAGCCAGGACTGTTACACAGAGAAACCCTGTCTTGAAAAACAAAAAGTTTTTGTTTTATTGAGACAGTGTCATATAGTCCAGACTGGTTTGGGGCTGCCTAGGAAGCAAAGAATGACCTTGAACTCCTTATACTCTGCCTGAACCTCCCAAGAGCTGAGAATACGTCAGCACCATTCCTTCCTCTTTCCCTCTCTCCCTCCCTTTCATTTTTTCTTCTCCCACCTCTTTGTTTTGTTGGAGGGGAGTGGATTTGAGAAGTCTCACTCTGTAGCCCAGGATGACCTTGAACTCACTATATAGACCAGGCTGCCCTAGAACTCCTGGCCATCATGTCAGCATTCCTGGTGCTTGTATTACAGGTATGAGCCATTTAGACCAGCTTATTTCTCCAACATATGATTCCTAGTTTATTCCAGTAGAAAATGAGGAATGGGCAAGTGTTCATATGTTAGGATGTAACACAGCTTCCTTTGATAATGATCTAATCATTTTCACATTTTTGATGAAAAATTTCGACCACTCAGAAATCTTTATGGATCTGGAACAAATGTCATATTGAAAATACTTTATGTCAAACTGTGATATTGTATGCGTATATGCATGCTTTTCCCAATGCACATTTACAACTAATACATGTTAATAAAACTAAATGTAAAACCAGATGAATTCTATTACTTCTGATACTTCATGTTTAGTCCTCCCTTTTAGAGAATAATGTTAATTACTGCTGCTTTTTCATTCTTCAAGTGTTAAGGGATAATTAAGGGAGCTAAGTTTAGTTAGCGGTCACAACAACAATAAACTACGATTCCCAAAATGCCTAGAGAAAGAGGTTGCCCTTGGTCGGGGAAGACAGTTAGTTGCAGCTTCAGGGCAAAGGTGGCTGGGTTAAGTCCAGCAGCGGAGAAGGGTGCAGGTTGTCCTTGACTGATTTCTAATGCATCCAGGGATATGTAGTTCCCATAGGGCCACAGCGTGCCCTCAGGCCAGGTTTCTTACTACAAGTCCCGTGATGACAGGGGGCTTGAGCGGCGCCTGCGTGCTGAAGCTAAAGGAGCGTGTGGGCGGTGCTAGTCGCTGGAGGAGTAAAGATGGCGGCGCGGGGGCCTCCGCCTTCATTTCCCGGCTGAAGCCCTCCGAGGGAGGCGGCGGCGGCCACACCAGGCTACCAGCGTTCTGGTGGTGGTAGTTTTGGCAGCAGCTGCGGAGGCTCGAGCCATGGCGGAGCTGGAGCACCTGGGAGGGAAGCGGGCAGAGTCGGCGCGAGCGCGGCGGGCTGAGCAGCTGCGGCGCTGGCGGGGCTCGCTGACAGAACAGGAGTCCGCGGAGCGACAAGGCACGGGGCGGCAGCTGCAGACCAGACGCGGGAGCCCCAGGGTCCGCTTCGAGGATGGTGCGGTCTTTCTGGCTGCCTGCTCCAGCGGGGACACGGACGAGGTGAAAAAGCTTCTGGCAAGAGGTGCGGACATCAACACGGTCAACGTGGACGGTTTGACAGCCCTGCACCAGGTAGGACTCCCCTTTCGGACGGGTGGGTCTCTTGCCTGCAAGCCCGTGACCCTTCGAGCTGCCCCACCAAAAGTATTATTAGTGTCACCGTAGAGCCCTCGTGCAAAGACCTTGCCACATCAGTCAACTCACGTCCGTTCTTGGCCACCTCCTTCCACTCAGCAAATCTTTTTCAGATCCCAGGGTTAGGGTCTTTACCTGAAGGACTGGTGTCACCGGGGTGACCGGTCAGTGTTTGTATTTCCCTCCACCTACTTGGGTTGTCATGGTGACCGATGGTTTGGTCCTTGGTCTTATCTCTATAGATTAGTCATCTTTACTTCTGTCTTGTGCCTGTACTGTCATGTCACTCATGCATACACTTAGTGTCATTAGCCTGATACCCTTTCAGAAATTCAGCTTTCTATTTGTGTGGCCCAGTTATCAAAATGTCTTAGGTCCGTTAAAGAACAATCCCAGTAGTGGATTAAGACAGGCAGCTCTTCCGAAAGGAGACTTGTTTGGCTGGTGTGTGGTTTGTGCCTTCCCAGGCCACCCTTAGAACACCCTTGACCTCATTGTTATGGGTGTCTTATTTTCTTTGCGGGAGTGCTACCTCTGTCAGGGACAGAATTATTTCTGTCTGGTACTTACGGAACAGACTTTCAATTTGGTTTCTGAAGCCCTCTGTAGAAATGATTATCTTTAAAAAAAAGAAATGACCGTATATATGGATTGCATGTAATCTGAGAGTTTGGTAATAACGCCTTGATCCCTCTCACTTATGCAGCAATATGCTCTGTATACTGACTGTCATAACTTCACCCTCTCTCCCCAGTTGAACTTCATCAGTTATTTTGGTGAGCTGAGAGCTGGGCACCCACTCCTCCTTCCTTCTTCCTTTCTCCCGCCCCCTGCCCCCTTTGAACACAGAATCTCATGTAGTTCAGATTGATTTAGCTGCAGATGGCCTTAAACTTGTGATCCTTCTGTCTCTGTGTCCCCAGTGCTGGGCCTGCCCAGTTTTTGCAGTGCTGAGGATGAAGCCCAGGGCTTTGAGCATGCTAAGCAAGCACTCTACCAACAGAGCTACATCCCCAGCTCTCTTTCTTCTTTTTCTTTTTCTTTCTGTACAAAGTGAATGTGTTCAGATAAGAATCCACTTTATAATAATAATTCAAGTTTACGTTAAGCCCCCTCCTTAAATATATTTAGCTAATAGCTTAAAATTGTTCTTATTGCTCTTTCAGGTAGACAAAACTCTCCTCTCAGACTATTTTTCTCAGTGCCTCACCTAAAGTATTTATATATAGCAACCAGTATTTATATAGTACTTTGTTGTTTAAAAATGATTTCACGTGCCTTCCCTCATGGAAGTCTTGGTAGTGTTCTTCTGCAATGGGTATAGTTGGTAATAAGGTGACTCCCACTTTACAGAGGAGGAAACGGAAACCAAGAGAAGTTGTGTGTGTGAAAAGCTAGGAAGGAGGGCAGTTGCCTGTGAAGCGTGTGTGTGTGTGTGTGTGTGTGTGTGTGTGTGTGTGTGTGTGTGTGTGTGTGAAAAGAAAGAGCAGTTGCCTGTGAGTATTGATTTTTCAGATTTGAATCACAAAGCCCCATAGGCCACCAAATAAGGAACTGGATGTAAAATGTGATTGAAACTAAGAGAACTACATTCAACTTTACGTTTTTTTTAAGATTTAAACTAAAAGTTTTTGAACTCTTTGGAAGGGTAAATTCTCCATACATGTGAAGGGCAGAGGTCAGCCGAGAGTCTTCCTCAGTCATTCTCCACCTTTATATTAAGTATTATTATTATTTTTAGTATAACTCAGTAACCTTGTTTATTATTTTTATTTTGGTTAGTGTGTGTGTATGTGTGTATGAGTGCAGGTGTGTGTGTGTGTGTGTGTGTGTGTGTGTGTGTGTGTGTGTATATGTGTATGAGTGCAGGTGTGTGTGTGCCATCATGTATGTGTGGAGTTGAAAGGACAGCTTAGAGAAGTCAGTTTTCATCTTCCGTTGTGGGTTCTGGGTTCTGGAGGTGGAACTCAGTTGACAGGCTTGCTCAACAAGCATGTTTACCGGCTAGCCTTGTTTCTTTAAAAGTGACTGCTGGCTAGGTTTAGTCCTTCCCAAACATTTGACTGTTACTCTGGGAAGTCACTCATGATAGACCCTCCCCTCCCTTCCAGTTCTGTCTCTTTACACCTCCCCATTCAGTTCTGTCTCTTCCCCCACATTCAGTTCTGTCTTTGCCCCCACATTCAGTTCTGTCCCCCCCATTCAGTTCTATCTCTTCCCCCACTTCCAGTTCTGTCTCTACCTACCCCCCCCCCCCCATTAAGTTCCATCTCTCTCAGCCTTTATCAAGAGACTGATTGTCTTGGTGCCTCTCCTCTCTTCACTAACACCCTTGATTGTGCAGGGCAGTGTCTAGTAGTTGATGCACTCTTTACATTCAGTAATCTCCTAAGTAGGAGAGGAAGGGGATGATAGCTGTGGAATTTGTTTTCATCTGCAAATGTAATAGAAGAATTCTTTCACATTTACAGGCGTGGCTAAATGCTAGGTAAATTCAGTTAAAGATCAATCTGCTCAAACATTTGATGTCAAGTCAAACTTTCTGGTTTGTATGTTTCTTTTCTTCCTTTTTATTTGAGAAAGGGTCTTACACCATAATTTAGGCTAGTCTGAAATTCACTGTGTAGCCAAGCAGGCTTTGAACTCATGGCATGCCTCCTGTGTACTGAGATTGTAGATGTGAACTGCTTCACCTTGTCTGTTCTAATGGGGAACCATCACTTTGAACCTTTACTGTTCTAAGAACTCTTGGCAGCCAGTTGACAAAGAGATACAATGTGTCTCTCTATGATCTGAAGAACTTTTTTTTGGGGGGGGGGGGAATTTGAGACAGGGTTTCTGTGTAGCTCTGACTGCCCTGGAACTCAACCTGTTGACTAGGCTGGCCTTGAACTCGCAGAGATCCGCCTGCCTCTGCCTCTCGAGTGCTGGGATTAAAGGCGTGTGCCACTACTGCCCAGTTTATCAAAACTGGCTGTTCCAGGGGGTCTGGCACTCTCTTCTGACCTCTGGGTATCAGGCATGTATGTGGTGCACTGAAATACATGCAGGCAAAACACCCATACACGTAAAGTAAAATAATAAGACAATAAAATGAGTTTTTCACCCTGTTGTTGTATGTCTGTGCACCACATGTTTAATGCCCACAGAAGCCAGAAGAGGGCATCAGATCCCCTGGAACTGGAGGTACAGATGGTTGTAAGCCACCTGATGTGGATGATGGGAACCACACTCAGGTCCTCTGGAAGAGCAGCAAGTGCTTTTTGCCACCGAGCCATCTCTCCAGCCCCAAATTTTATTTTTTAAATTAGCATGCAAAGTATTTGATATCATAATGGCTCTCTTTTCCTTTTTTGACTTAAAGTAAATTCCTAATGGCATTTTAAAAGAGTATGTTTCAGTTGCTTCTCCGCTGACATGGTCTCTTCTGTCCTCTTCCCCTCCCCTGCCTCCTCCGTATCACCCTCTTCTGCTTTCATGTTACAGGTGCCCTTTTGTGCACTCCTTCCTTGGCACGCCCTTTTTTCTAGGGTTTTGGGGCCTTTACCCTTGTTTATATCCGTGCACACAAGAGAGAACGTGTGGCGGTTGTCTTTTTGAGTTTGGGTCATTTTGCTTAATATATTTTCTGGTTCATTCTATTTTCCTGAAATTTTCATTTTTCTTTACAGCTATGTAAAATTCCATTGTATACTGTCTTAGTTATTGTTCTGTTGCTGCGAAGAGATGCCATGACCAAGGCCACTTATTGAAGAAGGCATTTAACTGGGGGCTTGCTTACAGTTTCAGAGGGTGAGTCCATGGCCCTCATGGCAGGGAGTGTGATGACAGGTAGGCAGACAGGCATGGTGCTGGAGCAGTAGTTGAGAGCTTACCTCCTGATCCACAGGCAGAAGGCGGGTGGGGGATAAGGAGGGAGTGGGGAGAGAGAGACACAGACAGACAGACAGGCAGACTGGGCCTGTCTGTTATGGGCTTTTGAAACCTCAAAGTCCACCCCCAGTGACATACCTTCTCCAACAACGCCATACCTCCTAATCCTTCCGAAACACTGCCACCAGCTAGGGACCAAGCATTCAAATATATGAGCCCATCTTCATTTAAACCACCACATATCTATCGCGGTTTAAACGTTTTTATCACATGTGTGCCACAACACACATGTGGAGGCGAGAGGACAGCTTTTGGGAGTCGTTTTTTCCTTCCACCGTGTAGATCCTGGGGACTAAACACAGGTCATGAGGTTGGTGCCAGGGACCTTATCCTGCTGGGCTTTCTTGTAGGCACTTTATCATATTTTCATTATCTGTACATCTGTTGGGCATCTAGGCTGGTTCCATTTCCTTGCTATTGTGAACAGGGCAGCAGTAAACATGGATATCCAAGTATCTCTGTAGGAGGGTAAAAATGGACTGGACGTATTTTGATGAATAAATTAGGATTTGGTATGCTACATTCAGTGTCCTAGAGGGCTCCAGGTGTTAAGAGGTGTTAATTGAATGATTATAATCCTTGGAAGCCCTTCTTCCCATACAGAGGCACTTCCATTTTATTTATATATACTCATGAGAAATGTATGTGTTGATAATCTAACTTCTTTATTTAATAAGAATATTATTTAATTTCCACACATCTTGGTATCCTCATGATTATGGACTTGTGTGGTCTAGGGTTAGCTAGATAGAGGTCTATAGTCGTACACATTCTGGATTTGGACCCTCAGAGTAATCTCAGATTCGAATTCAACTTGTCTAGCCTCTGCTATCTTTTTTTTTTTTTTTTTTTGAGACAGGTCTGATTGTGTACCCATGCCACCTCAAACTTGGAATGTTTCTGCTGGGATTCCAAGCATATGCTACCATGCCTGGCTACCTCTGTCATTCTAGAATGGCTTTAGGTGAGCCTGTAACTTTAGAGAAGTTACAATTGCATATTTC